AGTCTGGGAGCACACCAATAATCCATTGTGCCTTGGCGAGCGTTGGATTCTGAGAGGGTCAGCAGAGGAATTGACTCGTGACGCGATGATGTGTACCAGGGTCCTGGGCGTGGACTGGGTAACGGCACGGCAGTAGAGAACCAGGGAAAGGCTTGGGAAGGGACAGCAACACAACAGGGATGACAGCTGCCAACGGGTGGAAGGGGGGCAGAGGAGAGTTGTTCGTTGTAAGCTCAAGCTTTTTTGAATGATCAGACATTAAAGCATCAATTAGACATGAGAATGAAGTTGACAACTGATGCAAGGTGAAATTGCGGGTGGTGAGTGAGAGAGTATCTAGATTAGAGGATGTAGGTAGAGAATAGAACTATACTACTAGCTTACTAGTCAGAAAAGAGGAGACAGTCGATCGATCCGCACCAAGTGGGACTAGTGCCCAGACCCTGACTGCATTAGGACTAGCGCAGTGCAACGTGACGGACCCATCTCGACGTAATATTACTGCTTCTATTACTCTCCATTACTCACTACCATGCCTTCTAATCCCCCAGCTCGACTCTTCAACTCCTGTTCCTTCTCCACTCCAGACCCTACCACGGAGCACTCGGATCACACAGGAAGGATCGAGAAACAGAAAAAAAAATATGCCGAAGGAAAGCCAGCTTAAATTTGGCGGATGAACGATGGACGTACCAGACGAATGACGGGATCTGAACAAAGCAGTCCTGAGCAGGTGTCATCTTCCCCAGCCCTCCGTCCTCCTTCAATGCCGTCACCACCTTCACAAGGTTCAAGGGATGTTGCTCCGTATCCCTTGGCTGCTTCCTTCCACACACCTCCAAGTCTACGGCGATTGAGGGATTTTCTCCCCGAGTCCGACGGTCCTTATAAAAAGAACTTTCGTCTTTACTTTCCTCCAGATGTCACGAGCTACGACACCCCTCGCACTTTTGACCGGATCTGAATTTGGACCCAGCCCTACCTAGGTAAGGGGCCTCTACGTATGTGGCTGCACATTGCCGTAGGGTTAGCGGTCGTATAACTAGTATGGCGTAGGGCATAGGAAGTTTACTTGACACACAGCATAGATGCCGAATATTCCATCTAGAATCGCGTGTAGTCACCTGGCATACTGTGCTTACTATGTGTCCCATATCGAGATCAGTAGGTGTGAATATCCCGAGTGGATGCTACGCTTATTATCTAATCACACATTCTTCTTTGAGGTTTACTTTTATTATGTGACGGAAGTCTTTTCCTGCAGAGTATCCGACGTGGAAGCCAGGTATTAATAAATAGTGCCCGCATATCAATCGACATTGAAATCTTGCATTTCGTCTACATCACATAGTCTGCGTATCTTCATAACATGTAGACTCATATCTACTCAGTGCACATCTATTTGCCAGTCTTACCGGTGGGGATGTTGAACAGCACAGCCGGCTTGCCAGGAGCGTAGGGGCGGTCGCAGCGGAAGTAGCCCTTGCGCTCGAACTGGATGATATCGCCCTCGCGCAGCTCGGCAACGTTGCAGTCAGCCACCGCGTCCTCACGGAACTCGGTGTTCTTGTTCAGCACATCCTCCAGAGCATCGTCCTCCTGGAGGGAGTCCTTGTTGAGGAGGTAGTCGAAGTCGACCAGCTCCACGGGGACCAGTTCCTGGTCAGCAGACAGCCAAGTGACCTTCTTCTCGGTCTTCTTGAAGTCGCCCTCCAGGTGCAGGTCAAGCTCCAGGGACTGCACAACACCCGCGGCGTCCTTCTCGATCTTGCGGACAATGGCATTACCCCAGGCCATGAGGGTGATCTCCTCGTCCTGCTTGAAGGTCTTGGCATCCTCCTGGTCGAAGAGAACCGAACCGCTGAAGGTGACCTTCTTCTGGCCAACCTCGGGGTTCTTGTTGTGCTTAGGCTTGTCCTCGGTGTAAGCAGCAGGGGCGCCCTTGATGACGGCCTTAACAAGGTCCTTCTTCATGAGGGCAGTGTGGCGCGGCGCAACGGGGTCAATGTACTTCTTGTTGGTCGCCCAGATGAGGGTCCAGTCCAGGTTGGTAATGTTCTTGCTGGGTCCCTGCTTGAGGATGAACTCGCGGAGAGCCGGCACAGTCATACCCCTTCTGCGAATACCTCTGATGGTCGGGAAGCGAGGGTCATCCCAACCCCAGACAACGCCCTGGTCGACCAGCTTAGTGAGCTTACGCTTCGAGAGCAGAGTACGGATGAAGTTCATGCGCGCAAAGTCCCAGATCTGCACGTGGCGGAGTCCGAGAGTGTCCAAGAACCACTGGTACTGAGGGTTCCGGTCACGGTACTCAATGGTTCTGAGAGCGTGGGTAACGCCCTCAATCGAGTCCAAGATGGGGCAGCACAGGTCGTAGGTGGGGTAGATCTTCCACTTGGTGCCGGTGCGGTGGTGAGGAGAGGGGTTGCAGCGGTAGATGACGGGGTCACGCATGGCCTTGTTGGGGTTGTCCACAGACATCTTGGCGCGGATGCACCATCTGAGACCCTCAGGAGTACCCTGCTTCATCTCCTCGAAACGAGCCAGGTTCTCCTCGACGGAAGCATCACGGCGCTTGCTGGGCTCGCCGTTCATTCTCTGGGAGGCCATGGTCTCCTTGTCGGTGTCATCAGCGTAGGCGTTGCCCTCGCGGATGATCTTCAGACCGTACTCGTAGATCTGGTCGAAGTAGTCACTAGAGTAGCTCATCCTGTCGGGCTTGATGCCCATCAGGGCCAAATCCTCCATGATAGCATCCTGGAACTCCTGCTTCTCGTTCGAGGGGTTGGTGTCGTCGAAGCGCACCAACAGGGTGCCGTTGTACTTCTCGTGCGCAAAGTAGTCGTTGAGCAGAGCAGCCTTGGCGTGTCCAATGTGCAGGTATCCAGAGGGCTCAGGAGGGAAACGGGTAACAACACCCTTGTCAGTGTTCTGAAGAGCAATGTCGTAGCTGGCACCCTCCTTGGCCTTGGCCGCCTTCTTCTCCTTGGCGGAAGCATTGAGGCTCTCCAATGCAGCGCTAGCCCAGGGGCAGAGCTCATCCAGGAAGTTGAACCAACGAGTCAGGTTGACAAGGGCTCCCTTGCGAATAGCGGAGATGGCAACGCGGTTGCCGCGAAGGGCACCCCACAGAGCAATATCGGGGGTGGAGAGCGAGTAACCAACGATGAAAGAACGAAGGAGAAGGTGGGTGTTCAGGCGCTGAAGCAGAGGGTCGAGAGCCTTGAAGTCAAGGGTGGTGAAGGACTCGAGCTGGGAAAGCCATTCGTTCTCCTGGAAAAGCCTCCATCAGCATAGAGTCGCAATAAAGGCGGAGCGGGGATCACTTACAGACTTCTCATCCTTTCCGTTAAGGAAGGGAAAGCTGGCACGCAGCTCCTTGATGGCATTGTCAGTTCCATAGACGGGAGCACCGCTGGCACCCGTGAACTGGACGATAGCCTTCTCGCCCTCGGGGAGAACAGCCGCATCCTCAAAGTTGATGGCGATGACGGGAGTAGGGCGAGCCTCGTTAATAGAGGTAGCAACCAGGAGGACTGGAAGCAAAGAGGCCTGGTTGGCCTTAGTAGCCAGGCTAAGCTTGAACTGCGACATCGTTCCAAAGACCCAAAACCCCAGGAAAATGGATCAATTGCCCCAGGAAAAGATGGTATAGAAAGGTGGGATGGAGATAATTTACTGCCGGGAGGGGCAGTTTTGACTCAATGGGCTCCGCCGGCGGTAAGTTTCTCCGCGGGCGATGGTCGGCCGGAGCCTCTAGATTTCGGACCAGAAAACATTCCCGGCGCTGTCAAGCTCATTCGGAGTTCATCGCCATGGCTTCCTCCTACAGCTCCCTCATGCCCTTTGCGGCACGGGGAATCTTGTCGTCATGTCGTCCTGTTCTTCGCCCGAGCTCAATTGCGCCTATTTTGCCCAGCTTGCAGCAGGTGCGCACCGCTGCCCAGGCGCGCAAGGTGAAGGGAGGAGACAAGACCACCAAGAAAAAGAAGGGTCCGAGAGAGTTCAAGCAGAAGGATCTCAAGGATATGCAACAATTTGCGCTGTGTGATGCCATGAGGTTTGTAGTATTATTGTCGTGGTTCAATCGACCTTTTCACTGATTGCGTCGATCTTCACCGCAGATATCTCCGTGCATTCGAAGTTGGCCGCGAGCCAACCAATTCCAAATACGAGGTCCACGTCCGCCTAAAGACGAGGAGGGACGGTCCTGTCATTCGCAACATGCTCCGATTCCCCCATTCCGTCCAGACCGAGTCCCGAATTTGCGTCGTGTGCCCTCCCGGAACCCGCCATGAGAAGGAAGCTCGTGCGGCTGGAGCAGTCCTGGTGGGTGAGCAGGAGGTCTTTGATGCCGTGAAGGCCGGCAAGATCGACTTCGACCGCTGCCTCTGCCACCCGGATAGTTTGGATGCACTGAACAAGGCTGGCCTGGGTCGGATCCTCGGTCCCAGGGGCCTGATGCCCAGCGTCAAGACGGGTACTGTGGTCGAAGATATCGCTGTGCGTGTGGAGATGCTGCGTGGTGGTACCATTTACCGTGAGCGTGACGCTGTCATTCGTGTCCCCGTTGGACAGCTCGGTTTTTCCCCCGAGCAATTGCGTGACAACCTGCGCGCAACGATCGACCAGATCAAGAAGGATGCGGCCGGTCTTAACGACCGCATAACCAAGGAGGTGTACGAAGTGGTAAGTCGCCGATTTGCGTTGCGCTTGCAACCGGTGTCCTTGTCTAACGTTCCTTAGGTCCTGAGCTCGACCAACGGTCCCGGTTTCAGTCTGAACGGAGAATTCAGGTCGGAGACCTCTCCCGAATCTGCCGCTTTGCAGGGCGTGTAAAATAATCTAGCGTCTTCAAGTTCATGGGTGTACAGAATATGTTTCATTAGGAAGGTTACGGTGTATAATGGTATTTTTTCAAATCTCACTCGGAACCAGCAAAAGTAAATCTCCCAACGCCGGCGCTATGCAAAATGGCACTGCCTAGCTCTAGAGGTCCCCTAGGACTTCAGATTCTTGAGTGCTGATACGGCAGTAGTGTCCTCTCCCATGAGCTTGTAGAGACGCAATACGGCCAGCGTTTTCGTATCCCGCTTGTCGCCCGCCTGCTTTGCCTGCTCCAAGGCCGTCTTCAGATCCAAGAGCACCGCAGATCGTATTTTCGACATCCTTGGGTGTTGGCTCTGTAGGAATGGATGGTTGTCACCTATCCGAGAGGACAGCTTGGTCAAGTAGACATACTTCTGAATATGACGCTCGAGCGTCTTGAGGGAAACGAGCGACGCAGTAGTTGCGCCGTTAGGCAGTTCATCCTCGTCACTATCGTCGCTGTCGCTCTCGATCAAATCGGAATCCGAATCGGACTCGCCCGGGGTGCCGTCCTGAGGAGGCCGGGGAGTGTCTCCGATCATTAATCTTCTTTCCAGCTCCTCGACTCGATCCGCATAGTCCAGCAAGGCCTGCCCAACATTGGCTTGCGTCTTCAGACGCTTCTTCTCCTTCAGTAGCTCTACCATCTCCTCTTGCCTTGCCTCCACCTTATCCCGTATGGACTGGACATCACGCTGGAATGCCAACAAGCCGACCCGTACCTGCTCGACTTTCTCCTCCCCACCGTTTAATGCGCTCCCTAGGGATAGAAAGTCCTGGTAGTTTTCATTGACCAAGTCTAGGAGTTCTCGACTGAGTAATTGGTCCAAATCTCGTAATTCTTGTCGCAAGTCCTCGAGGCTCTGGTGTCGATTGGTGAGGGAGGATAGATACGCCGCGGGGTCGAAGTCGGGGGAGAGGAAGGAAGCACGGGACAAAGGCTCGGGGAAGGGCAATCCGGAGGTATCATCGTCGAATTCGGATGCAGACTCATCGGAGTCGCCAAACTAAGCGCATAACAATCAGTTTCACTGAAGTATGGCGGGAGAACGAATGGGTGGGTGAAGGAAGAAGGGTTCGGCCAGACAGGGAATAGCATACGCGAAACCTATTCATCTTGAAGGGGGTGACTTTTAAAGTATCAACCGCACCATATGCAGCTTCCGACGAACCCTAAGAGACAAGCGTCGAGGTGGTCACCACTGCGCGAAGGACACTACCAACGGGTTGGAGATGGATGAAAGACGACAACGACGATGATGATGATTGTTGGAGCTTAGTGTTTCCCCTTTCGGGTTCCGAGTCCCCAGTTTCCGCCCGCTTCAACTTGAGACCAGCCACTTTTCTGAATAGTTTCTGGATTTCTTCGCTGCATCATCGCCTCTTGAATCCCGGCCCGATCCACAGTCATCTGCCTCCCCGATCATGCCAGCTCGTTGGCCTGCTGAGTCCATGCATCTGTGTTCCGTGGAGCGAGGCGTTGGAGCGTGATACGTGTCCTGCGTTGTCTGCCCGTCCACCGCCGCCGCCAGCCGCTACTGAGAACTTGTTGTCTGACAGGCGCTTGATCGCCTTCCCTGCTGCCAGCCGATCTGCCGCTGCTGTTGCGTATTGGCCGGAAGGCGGGGTTTTTACTCCGGTGGTGGTGGTGTTGTTTCGTTGCGGGTGGTCATATCCCCGTCTACGCTCCGCTGCTGCGTCACAGCCTGCATCGCATTGCCCTGAACGGAGATGGATTATAGGTCCGGCAGGCTGCTCGCCCACACGGACGCTTTTCCATCGTCCTCGTCCGCTTTGCCACGCCGGAGATGGTCGCAGCTGAACCCTCTGCATGCCTCGCCGGTGGTCGAGACTGTCCGTCCTCTGCAACAAACTGCTCCCTATCGCTATGAACCCGCGCTAGATGAGTCCTCTCGAGCGCATCGTACCACTACGCTACGTCAGCTGAATGGGAACCCCGGGACCTCATCCTGGAGAAACCATAATCGGTCAGCTACTTCGCGACCCTCAACGTCGGCATCGCAGCCTGTGCTGGTTAGGGCATATTCGGGCGGCCCTCATGACACCTCCAGCACTTCGACCACGATGCCTTCGCGGCGCTCATTTCCATTCATCGGTGGCTCAAGAAGCCAGCGACGCGGGCCTGCTCTCCCATCAGAGGACGACTTTAGCATAGACGGCATACTGCGAGCTATCGAGCCGAATATTCGCCAGACGTTAGACTCGATCGGAGAGATCTGCGGGCGCAGCAGACTCAGTCTGGCGAACGAGTATGGAAGTCATATTGCTCCGCTAGGCGAGATTCGGGCTCCCCCGGGTGGTCTGGTAACAGTCGAAGAAGCCAGCTCCGATCATGAAAGACAAAGCGACAACGTGGTCATCTACGACGATGAGAATAGTGTCGCCGATGGACGTGATCATTCGTCCTTATCGCAGTATCGACACTGGGACGGCAGACGACCATCTACGGGGTTTCCTTTCAGAACTCCGTTCTCTGGGGCCGGCTCGTCCAGCCAGGCCCCGCCCAGTACCCCAAGATCTCCCCTGGCATTGCATGCGCCGGCCGAAGAGCCCGCGCTGGGAGCACTTCCCACGAGGCAATTTGCCTCCAAGCCCAATTCAGGCGGCCGTACACTGTTAGGCACGCAGACACAGTCGGGCTCGAATATTCTTACTCCGGCTCTTGTATCCGAGGTCTTGCTTGATGCCCAGGCTGAGGCCAACGCAACCTCTTCCTCGGAGATCCCGCGAGGCCAGGAGCTTCTCGGTCCTAGCGCTATGGATTCCAGCGCTGGATATAGGGGTTGGATTCCGCCGTCCCTGGTAGCCGATGTGCAGGCGCTTCTAAGCTGGCTACAGTATGGTGCCGTAGCTGCTGGTTCCGAGGCAAGACAGGCAACGGCTGAGATGCGACTACGAGCGATGTTGGAACGAGATCAAACTATTTCAAATGCGTGATGGTAATGATGTTGCTCGCGGGAATGTATGAAATGACGAGGAACGGTGGCGATGATGATTATGATATGATATACGATGCTATTTATACACGGCAGAATTACTAGGCAGCGATGCTACCCACGACATATAATGACTGATGACTATGCCTTCCACATTGATGAGCAACAGTACTTTTCTTTCATAGTAAATCATGATCTCGTATCACTCTACATCCATGCCAAAAGACGCCACCCATGACACATGCTCTAACAGTAACCCCCTGTATATACTACTAACTCCATGATTCATCACCCCTCAATCTCCGCAATCAACGTCTTCGAAAATTCCTCGAACCGCGCATACGACCAACACTCCCGATACCTCTCCACCAACGGCCTCTCATCCTTCTCTTCCTCCTCCTTCTTCTCCCCATCTGCCTTATCAGCACTTCCATCCCCACCCTCATCCTCATCCTCACTATCCTCCTCCTCCCCACCAACCTTCCCCTCCACCAACTCCCCAAACCCAACATCAACCGGCACCTTCCCCAAAAACCTCACCCCCATCTCCTCCGCCAAAACCTGCCCCCCACCACTCGAAAACAAATTCGTCACCCCCCCACAACACGGACACGTATACCCGGACATATTCTCCACCACACCCAACATCGGAATCCTCGTCTTCACACAGAAATTCACCTCTTTCCGTACATCAGACGTCGCCACCGCCTGCGGCGTAGTAACCAGCACCGCGCCAGCAAGCCGAGGCAATGAGGAAGAAGAAGAAGCATCAATCGTACAAAGCGTCAAAAGCTGCTCCGCAAGAGCAATATGCTCATCACTCGTTCCAGGAGGCGTATCAATAAGCAAGTAATCGGTTTCATTCCATAGCACGTCCGAGAGGAATTGTCGAATCATAGCGGTCTTTTTGGGCCCCCGCCAGATTACGGCGTCTGAGCGAGAACGGAGAAGGAAGCCGAGGGACATGCACCGGAGGGAGCCGTGCTTGATGGTGCTTTCTGTTGTTGTGGTGGTGGTGGAGGAGTCTGGTTGTGAGGAGGTGGTGGACGCATTAGGTGTGCTTCTGCTGAGGGTGGAAGGGTGAACGGGGACAGGAAGCCAACCACCCGGCGCTTGGGTGATTTTTGCGTCTTCGAGACCGACTAGACGGGGGATTGAGGGGCCGGTGAGATCGATGTCGAGGATTCCGACGGATTTGCCTTGGAGGGTGAGCGCGAGGGCGAGTTGTAGTGTTACGCTGGATTTGCCGACCCCGCCTTTGCCGGAGAGGACCTGGGGGTTAGATTATTAGCTTGTTTTGAGGGATAGCATTGGAATAAGATAGAGAGAGAGAGAGGTAGGTAGGATGTGTGCGCATTGTATGCGTAGGCATGGCTCTATATCCATGCTGTGTGCAGTTGCGCGCTGTTATCGATAAGAGAGGAGGGGTTGTCGCAATGGGATTTGGAGCTGGAGGAAGGTTGAAGGTAGGGCAGTTGAAGGTGTATACTCACCAGCACAACATTCTTGACCCCGTCGAGAGGCATCTTGAGTATCTTCCTCTGATTTAGATCTGGGTATCTGGTTGGGTTGGAGGAGTGGTGAAGGTCTGGGGATGGCGATGGCGAGCCGATTTCGGGTGGGCTTTTTTTCTGCGTCATTCCGCGGAGTTTTGCTTATCAATCCAGCCGGTCCGGAGATATCACTCCCTCACTCAGTCACTGCTATCTAGGTCTACGAGATGCATGCATGCTGCAGAGTATACTGCGTATAACGATGGTGTGCTACTCTCTACATGCTGTACGAGTCTGCAGCATTAGACTTTTTGTACTAATGTCAACCCTAGACTGCTCATTACTGATCATCATTGTATCATTCCATGACAAAACTCGGGAGCTGCTTCTCATCAACTCATATCTATGCCTAAAATGCCTATCACTGAATCCTGACGTTGTGAGAAATTGCACCGAGCTTATGCACACCTCTATACTCAACAGGACTATACCACCGCACTTATTGCCACTTCTGTACCACCACGCCGCCCCGCTTAAACTCCGCCATTTCACCCAGCACAACACTCTTGTCGGAGAGATCCTTGCTGGGGAACGTAGTCATCAATACCCAGGGACGCGACTGACTGCTAGGGCTGGCAGCGGTTACAAACTGGTACACGTCACCAATGGTATGGCTGGTGTTGAACCGGGAAGTGAGCCGTGAGCCGTCTCCAAGGCGGATCTGAAGAGTCACCGTCGGCTGCGACTCATCTATGTCCGGCTTGGCTGGCTCGGTGGACTGACTGGGAGTAGGGGCAGCTGCTGGCGCAGGTGCTCTCACACCAGGTGTGGGGCTGCCGAGGCGCTGTCCAGCCCCAGAGAAGGGCTTGTACTTAGGCTTGGGCTTCACGTATTTCTCGTCATGCTGTTTAATTTCCACGTCCACCTCCTGACCAGCCTGCACATTCATGATAGAGAGCGGGGCACGGCCCTGGCGGATACCCTCGAGGATTTCGCGGTTGGCGGGGTCGTCGGAGTTGAACAGCTCTCCATCATCAACCGAGAAGCCATCAGACCAGAAGTGTAGGGTTCTATGTACGCGCTGCGGTGTCTGCGAGACAGGTGCACTGGGGGATTCGATCACTCTGCTGGGAGCCTCATCACCACCAAGGGTACGTGCGGTGCCGGTGAAGAAAGACCTTCTGGTGGGTTCATCCGATGGCGGAGGCTGAGCCCTACAAACGTATCAGCCTTGTACAATCAAGCTTATCCAAAGGTCCTCACCTTTTGGCCTTTTCAATGATCTTCTTCTTAATATCATCAGGGTTCTGCACAGCCAAGCCCGACTTTTCACCGCCAGCAAAGAAGTCTTGGTTCACTGCATCGTCTTCCTCGGAGGATTCCCCTCCACCCGACGCAAAATCGTTCAGGGTCGCAAACTTCTTTTTCGGGGCCGACCTGCGGGACGAGGGCTGCGGGGTAGTGGAGGGGGACTGAGAGGAGCTGCCACCAAGCGAACGGCCGGCAGAGGGTTCCGATTCAGCGCCGAGTCGGCGACCACCACCAGCTGCGCCAGTATCCTGTGAGGCTTCATCTTGTTCGGCGAAGAATTCGGTGACTGCGGCTTCGAGATCCCACTCGTTGGCTGCCAGATAGCCTTGCGCCTGAGATGAAGAATGTAATTAGCAACCATAGCTAGAGATGAGACCATTAGCATGTACCTCGTGAGGATCCGTCCTAGTCATGGCGCAGAATTGAGAGACAATCTCATCGCGGTCCGCGTTGTGCTCCATGTTGGAAGTAAATCGACCGTGACGGCACTGCACACGTTGTGATGGTTGGTGTTAGATTTTGTGAAGCTTCGCAGTCCAGCACTGATTCGAAGATGGAAAAGCACAAAACCTATCGAAGAAAGGCGGAGAATGTCGGGGACTTGGAAGATGCAGTGATTCGTATTATTGTAGCTCTTCACGAAGCTGAAGGGACCCAATAACGGTACGTCACTGTTGCCTGATTGGTCATCCGGAAGAGGGGATCTTCCGCTGGTGCCTGAGGAATCCCCCGGCGAACCATCAATGAGAGGATATTCCGTGACGAAAAGTAGTGACTTCACTCCTTTCATTCCTTGGCTGCACTCTCACTTGCTTCTCATACTGGACTGCTCGTCTGACTATACTTGATTTTATCACACGACCCTGCAGGCTGTCTCTTCTGGTTGTTGCTGTAGCGAACGCGAGGGCAGGCTGCTTACATAACGGCTTCTGCAGGTCAGGTGTAGATCGTCAATCCAGCCAACCCCAAGGGACCGACCTCATCCAGCGCCGAATTCCCCTCCATTCAGTTGGTGCCCTTCGTATCCCCGCGTCTGTCAACTTGCTGATTGTTTTGCAGTCACAGACGGGCTTTTCTAATTTCCAGCCCCGTCCTTTACAGTTCCCTTTCCCTGTTGATCGCCTTCTCCCCGCATCATGGCCGCCGACCTCTCCAGCTCGAGGGAGCTGTATGAATCTGGACTGACTGTCCACTCAGATTCTGAGAACTATTCGGCCAATCATGACATCTCCGGCTCTCAGTCATCCTCCTCGAGCTCCCCCTTGATCCTCTACAAGCCCCCAACCATCTGGAGTATCCTGCGGGGAGCTGCCATTAACCTCGTTCTCCCATTCGTGAATGGGTTGATGCTGGGATTTGGCGAGTTGTTTGCACATGAAGCCGCCTATCGACTCGGCTGGTCCGGGACAAAGGTACGATTACAATCTCTGTTTGATAGACAGGGGCGCAGGACTCGCCCCCGTCCTTTGTTCAAAGCCGGCTTTCGTTATGGTTCAATAACACTAATTATATGTTCATATTAGGTCTTCCCTATGCATCGGCGTTCGAGACCTGTCGGGCCCGGAATCGAGGTGCGAGACATCCCGTCGCAACGGAGGGGGACTAGGGCGGCCGGACTGAAGGATGCTACGTCTCTAGAGTAGACCCGGATGGAGTACTAGCGGACCATATAGATATCTCATCACGCCCGATTGATATTGGCATGTACGGGTAAAGTGGCATCAAAACAGTTCATTTCTTGTCGCTTGCAGGGTGGCATGAATGCGCATCAGGGGGTTACAGTGTACATAGAGCAAGCATCAGTAATCGGTCTGACTGGACGGCGTCTGGCGAACCACCTCGAATTTAACCTCTCACACATTGACGAGATTTGGGTTCCTTGAGAATAGCCACATGGATGTTAAATCGGCCTAAATTCATAGCGAAGACTAGACCGCTCGAGACTCCGTAGGAATGAATTGAGGATTTCCGCCCGGCAGAAAAGGCAGGCTTGGCGCCGAAAAAGCGTCCCGAAAAGCCTCCGCGATTTTCCCCAAACTCCGATTCGATTCCCCAATTCATCTCATCCACCTTCATACCAATTCTCGCCATGTTGGGAGGGACTGGTCTCAGTGGACGCGGCGTCTTGCCCGCCGTGGCCCGGCAACGGTTGTATGCCTTCTCACGTTCCAGCCGATCGGTTTGTCCTCCGCCGCAGTCATCTCTTGTCGGCTCGAGTACGAGATTGTTGACTTTGCCCTACAGATGTCCTCATTCCGTCCGCAGACCCTGAGAACCGCCGTCCCATATGGCCAATCCAAGCAGACGCTGCTTGGAACGCGCTCCTGGCGGCCTGCCACTGCGATCACCGGAGTGGCCGCCGCTCGCTTCAATTCCACCTCTTCGGCTCCTTCATCGACTACTCCCTCGGTCCCGGCGGCCAGTGATGTCTCTCTCGCACCCCAAGGAGAAGTCAACCTCAATGAACTGACCGCAGCTGATATCAATGCGATCCCGGAGCAGATTGGATATTTGAAGCAATTGGGCTTGGATTTCGGTTGGGGTTTTTCGTCCATGATCGAATGGAGCGTTGAGCACTTCCACATTATGGGTGGTCTCCCCTGGTGGGGTGCGATTGTCGCAACCGGTCTCTTCATTCGTCTGGGTCTTCTGTACCCTACACTTATGGCCGCGGACACCAGTACTAAGCTCAACAACATCAAGCACCTCACCACGCCGCTTCGGACGGAGATGGTTCAGGCCAACTATAAGAATGACCTGATGGAGGCGACACGGAAGAGGGCGGAGCTGAGCCAGCTGCACAAGGATCACGGTATCAAGCCCTGGAAAGCAATGATCCCGATGATCCATATTCCCTTCGGTTTTGGTTGTTACCGTGTCGTCAACAACATGTGCAGTCTGCCGGTGCCCGGACTGACCACGGAACACGTTGGCTGGCTTCAGGACCTTACTGTTTCCGATCCCTACTACATTCTTCCTTTGATTGGATCAGTTATCCTACATCACACTCTCAAGGTTCGGAACTTTGCCTTTTCTTTCCAAACGTCTAGCTAATGCAGTTGCGTGTAGAAAGGAGGAGAGACCGGTATGAACCAAATGAAAGACTCCGCTTTCAAGAACATTTTCCTCTACGGCATGCCCGCGATTTCGTTCCTGTTCATGGCCAATTTCCCTGGTGCCCTTCAGCTCTACTTCATGACCACCAGTGTGTTTGCTCTGGGGCAAACGTACTTGCTTAGCTCGTCTACTTTCCGGAGGATGGCTGGTATCACCATAGTGGATCCCAACGTCCCGAAGCCCGACGAACAGCAAAAAAACGATGACCATGGCCTCCGCTTGATCAACGAAGTACCTGACAAGGAGGCCGTCCAGAAGGCTGCTGAGGAGGCGGAGCGCGAGAGGTTGAGTCTCATTGACCGTACCATCGGACAAGTCAAGGAGACTGGATCGAAGCTCAAGGATGAGATGCAGAAGAAGGTTGAGGAGTACCGGGGCAGTGGTCCCACCAAGAACGCGGATGGAACTGTTTCCGCGGGCCCCCGACTCAGCGAGAAGGACCGCAAGCTGGCGGAGGACTACGAGAGACGGCGTGCTGAGGAGGAGGCGTGGAAGCGCGAGGAGCGGAACCATGCCCGTCGCGAGGCTCACATGAGGGCCATGGAGCTGCAGCGCCAGAAGGCTGCGCAGGCGAGCCGGCAATAAGTGCATTGATATGACCAGGCGTGACGGGCTCCAGCGTGATGTTTTTTGTAATTATCTGTATTATATTGATGCTATCTCATTCTCATTCACCTCGGTTGTTTTATAGGAATAGACTAGGTCTGTTAACCATGGAATATCGATGCATATTTACTAAATGTGAAGATATTCACAATATCTTGTCGTCCCGTTCACTAACCACCCCGAGTCTATCACTCTTGCTTAGTCGGCGAATAGCTTCACTGGCCCTGCTCAGGGTTTGCCTATAAAAGCCATCGCCCCGGCGCCAGCGTGGGCTTCTTCTTCCTCTTCCTTCATCCTCTCTCCACAAAACATAACACGTTTCTCACTCTCCAAAATACTTTGTGTGAACTGCTATATTCTCTCTATCATCACTCATCTCATACGAACACATCTAAGCTACGGCAGGAGAAATCTTGACTAGCCTGATTGATCACATCCATCTCCAGATGCAAAGATCTAAGCTACATATGGCAGACTGCATACTTGCCATGTCTACCAACAAGCATCTATCTGGCGACCGGAAAGGGGCATGTCGAAAGTCTCCAATCTGCATCATCAGACATAAGGGCTGAATATCCTGAGACATGAAGAATTAGCTCGTCGATGATCCTTTGCTTGTTGGCCAGCGGCCCAAACCGAACTTGAAACGGATCTTCTTCAAACTATACGACTGGCACCGCTTGAGACCACCCTTCCATACTAGCTCGAGGTCTCAATGACTCTCCACAGTCGAGTTCTGTGCTGGGATATCCGTATCATGGTCACCTAACGAAACCCCAATATGGTATAGCACTTAGGGTTTTGAATGAGACACCTCTGTCCTCATTTATGCGACTGGGAGCACTGTCCAGTGTTGGGGCTGCGAACTTTCTTGGACCTTGTCGAAGAGCTAGACAACATGTCGAATACGAATAAAGAGACGACCTTCTCGTGAATGAAACAGTTCGCTCTACGAGAAGAGACTTTGATTGTATCCTGTCCGAGCATAAGGCATAATAAATCGATCTGTGGTTCTAGGGCACACCAATCAATAAAACAGATTCTTTTGGGGTTCACCATGGTCTGCCGACACTTTATAAGTGCTTTAAGAGCACTAGACATCTCTGGGCTGATGAAGAATGACCTAGTCTCATGCAGTTTGCAACTTGGGTGACCACGTGTACCAGGGTAGCAAAAGCAATTGCGGATACTCTAGAACAGCGGCGACAAAGACACAATTTCAAACCTACTCGCAAAATGCTTAAGCATCAAGAAGAAAGCCTAGGGGCAATAAACTTTGCAACGCCACAAGTGACGTCCAGTGCATTACAACGTTCTCAAAACCGTGGTCTACATATACGCTTCTTACGGCTTGTCGTTAACCGAAAGTGCCTGCGCAACATCTACATAAAGCTGGCCGTTGACTAATTTCAGAGTTCTCTGAAGGATTCTCAGAATGGGTATCTGATGCAGCAATGCCATAATTGTCTCACTCGATGGCTAAAGAGTAGGAAATAGCTGATAGGGCAGTCAGACTTTGCGCAACAATACTGCGAGCACAACATGATGATACAGCTCCTTTCGTTCTAGCATCGCATTAATAACGATCTCCGCGGCTTTACTGTACAGTTGGGGTTGTGGGACACGGAATATAGGCTCCCAATCACTGCCCGCCCCCGACCAGCAGGCTTGTCCTAAGCTGCAGCCTTGATGCATTCTAATCAGCAGCTAAGTTCCAACCTGGGCTACTCGAGGGGATCACCCCAGATAGTAAAGCTTCAAGCGAGGATTGGCTGCGTCTATGGGTTATATATTCTTCACTCGACGTACCATTGTACACACTCCAGTGTCAGGAGCGGGATTTGACCTAGTCTGATCCGTACCTCACTCGCAGAAGCATCAAAGCCACCTTCCATAACAATTCCTGACTTGAAACCCTCAAAAAATGTGTCATTGACCCAAGGCAGTTTCATAAGGGCATATGAATGGCTAAGGTAGTAAGGCAGGTTGTACTTCTTGCTGGGGCCAGCTTCTGGCAATTCAACACGGCCACAGATGATGAGGAGAATCCAGTGGGAGTTACTCATCAGACGGCAAAGACCTTACGAACGTTAAGTACCTGCAGAAACGACTCTTTGAAGTGCAAGTCGTGTCCAGGGTCGAGAAAGACAACCTTGAAATCAGCGGTTGCTACTACCCATGGCCTGGAATCGACCGGACAACCTGACTCTGAGCGACGACAAAAAGAGCCCTCCGAGGTGCTTTCACCTTCAGTCCTTTCCACAAATGACGAGAGATGCGAACTGATGCTCCTACGTGCAGCGTCTCAAGCGGGAAACGCATATTCCTACGTGATGCCCTTGGGAAGCATCAAAAAGTTCGTTTCGGATCCTACTCCGCGTCCGCGATAGCGATGGTAATTGCCTGCGAAAGTCAGATCGCTTGGATATGACCACTGAATGTGTTGAACCAGATGGAGCACAGAGCCATGTTGGCCGGTTGAAATGGGTTGTTGACGATCAAGAGCCGCACTGGTACATTTATGCGTCTTTACTTAGTAGACAGTGGTGCACACCAATGAAATGGCAGTGTCAAGGGTTGATTGGACAAGAAGGAGCGGGATACGGCAGAATGTGCGTGCTATGCTGAGGATAGCTATAGTTATTCTAAAAATAGGTCTTAGTATGCAAGCCTGCGTGCTATCCAGGATCCTACTAGACATAGTTTACTATCTTAGCTGTTCCTGTATTAAGCTTCAGGTAGTAGAAAATGCTTATTTATCACTTGATCTATGTTAGGATATACTTGCTGGCTTGAAAGGTTACCTGAAATAATCAGTCATAATGGGGTTATGAAACCCGAATAGAGGCATTAATAAAAAAGAATAGGAACTAAATCTCGAAAGCTTCTACTAGTCCTGATAATGTCCTAAACAAAATGTAACAATCATCTGTCCTCATAAGCAATCGCGTAGGAACAATCTGAATCAACCTCCAGAAACTCAGCCCTACAAAGACGGGGCCAGCCGCACTCGCACCTCCAAGGGTCGCTTCTCCACCAACAAGAAAGTCCGCAATTCTTCCCATTGCAGGCGTTTCCCCTCTACCGCCTCGAAATCAAAGCTGACCAGTAATTTAGTGAGGATCAACCTCATCTCTGCCCACGCCAGGTGCTGACCTAGGCAAGACCGTGGGCCCATGCTGAACGGCTGCACCGCCTGACGGTCATCGTGGTAAAAGGGTGAGTTAGGGTTGTTCAACGCATCCGGAAGCCATCGGTCTGGAATGAAGGACGAGGCTGCATGGAAGCGAGAGGGGTCGCGATTGAGGGTGTAAGCCTGTAGAGAAACTGAGGTCTAGGCCATGATGTCGTTGTCAGTGCTATGTCGATCATGTATTGTTTGTTGACTTACTCCGCCTGGTAACCAAGTCCCACACACAGTGCTTCCTCCCGGTGGCACCTGGCGGGGAAGCATCCACGGCACGGGTGGACACAGTCGGAGACCCTCCTGGATCACTGCAGTGAGGTACGACAGATCCGCCGCTGCGGACAGGCTGATGTCTTGACTCGATTCGAACCTTTCGCGGACCTCCTGGATGAGGCGCTCCTTTATCGGTGGTTCATTCACTAGATAGGCCAATATACCCGTCAACACCGTGGCAGTTGTTTCACTGCCCGTTGTAGTCAAGATCATAAAGGTCGAGTTAAGCTCCCCCCGCGGTAATTCCACTTGGCCATTCTCATCGATTAGATGAGACATGATATCCGGCCGCTGAAGTTCCCAGCTAAGCCGTCGGTCGATCTTATCCACAATCTGTCGATAATGACGCTGACTCTTTTCGTGCAGCGAGCGGGGGATGCATTTCATCAGTAGCGCTTCTAACGGGGGGTAATACCGCGCTGCTGCAATGAATGAGGCCGCCTTAACACTTCCGAATAGCAGCGCAATCCAGGGGTGATACCGTGAGTGCTGCAGACAATCAAAGGACTCGCCAAAGCCGAGGTCGCCGAAAATGTCGAAAGTGGTGAAATTGAACCAGGGGCCCATGTCAATCACTGTTCCCTCTGTGCCAGCGGCTGATACTTGGTCTCTGATCCGGTCGACAAGAAGTGAGGCATATCTCTGCAGGAGAGCCTCCTGCGCCCTCAAAGCACGCGGAGTGAAGGCCGGAGCGAGTAATTTACGCATACGAGAATGTTTGGCCGGGTGAATCGCACTCAAAAGAGTATCAGGCTGGCCAGGCTGTCTTCGCCACCAGAGGGGATCCTTGAGAAATTGGCGATCATCAGGCCGACTCGCATAGATGTCTGTCCATGCGTCCCCGCTGGCAAAGCTGACCTCGTCCGGGGCGGTACGCACAACAGGCCCATACTTGCGATGTAATCTTTCAAAGTCATGGACAATTGTGCCCCGAAGTAGCGCCCTAATGAACGGCAAACGGGTGGCAGACCAACTAATTGGACCGGGTACATGGCTCAATGGGCTGAAAAACACATTGTAGATAATGCGGCTTATGGGGTACTGAGCAAACAGATTAGTAATTATTCGGATTAAAAGTAAAGTAGTTTGGTGAGGAAGAAGATGCATACAATCACGAGCAGGGAAATACCTATACTCAAAACGTTAACAGCCATGTTGATGATATGGTGGTAGGAGCGGAAATGTAGGAGTTGGGGAAGCACACTAAATAGGGTTGCTAAAGGTTGGGAGACAAAGAGCTGTTGGCTTACCTGGACTAATGCATGCACGTACAGCCTATCACATCGTGGCCCCTAATTTCCCATTCAACAGGAAGGAGATCCCTGTATGACCCCTCGGTTTTCTCCATCCACACTGCTTATCTCTTCTTTTGCCGATCCCTCCCCGTATTATTTTGGTAGAATCCCTTTCATCACACGCCCTTTGGTCGAGATCAACAGGTTAATGGGCGCACTGCTATCTTCGGAATAGATATGTTGGATAGTATCGATGTTTCTATATTGAGTCGGGGGGAGGTGGTGAATGGATGCAAAGGATGGGGGTGGAGCGTAGGCTCGAGAGATAGATGGTGCGATGAGGACCCTAACGGATGGATAGAAAGCCTTGATGAGAGTATAAAAAGAAGAATTATGGGAAGCATATGCACGTAGCATGTATTATCACTACATATCAATTTTATCACTGCTATATGGTGATGAGTAGTATGCATGGCATGCTAGAGATTAATCTGAGTATTGATTGTTCAGTGAAATATAGACAATCTGTCTACCGTCATGTATTAAGCAATATCATCACAGCAGTGGTCTTTATCAGCCACCATTTTGCTATCCATGCTCAAGTCTGCTCCCACAGCTCCCCAACTAACCAACTCCATGATCAATAATTACCGGAAGATACGCCGACCCCCGACACTCCCAGCAGACCAAGTGACCGACCCTCTTACCCCCAAATTACCCATACTTAGTCCGGAGAACCCTACGCCACCACCCTCTCCATCCCGCTTATACCGCCGCAGCGCTTCCCTCAGATGCGAAGGCAGTAACTGGCCCCGATGGGGATTCGGAGGCAACTTGACATCCTTCTTCCCAGCAGGCGTAGACATAGGCCCCCTCTCCACGGGCTCCTGCTTGATACCCCCAGGTGTTGCTGTTGCTGTTGTTGTCGTGGTCGCCGCCTGCTCAGCTTCAATGGCAGCCAAAGCCGCCTGATCATGAGCAAGAGCCCATTCAGCCTGCACGGTACGAGCCTTCTCAATAATCTCACCGGCAAAGACCTTCGTAAAGCCATTTATCGTGGTAACCACACTAGCCGGCACAGACTGCGACAGAGCATGATTGACAATACGTCGTAGCGTTTCCTTTCGTAACTTGGCTCGTTTGAACAAATCGTATCTTTCCGACTGGATGGGATTGAATGCATCCACCAGCAATCTAGACAGAATCAGTTAGCACCACACCACGATACAACACAACCCAACAAAGGGAATGGTGGGATACGCACGCCATATTCTTCTTCTCCGCCTCCGTATCCGTCGTCCCCTCCTCCCTCCCCAACAACTCCCCCTCATCATCAAAATCCTCATCCTCATCGGCATCTTCTCCCCCTCCTCCTCCAGCACCTCCACCACCAGCACCACCCCTCACCGACGCGCCATCCGCATCCACCGATCCCAGTCGATCCATCCCTGCCCGCAGACTCCCTTCTTCCCTCTCGCGCTCCTTCTCCGCTTTACTCTTGCGGCCGCGCTTCTTTCCCTTCGTGAGAAAAACGCCATCTGCGCTAGTCCCGCCTAAACTGCCTGTGAAACTGCCCGTCACGCTGCCGGCGTCGCTGTAGGTGCGCGTGTCTGCGTCGATGGTGTTGGGGAAGGAGGTCTGGCGGAGGGGATGCATGCGCGGTCGTTTGGGATGGCTGCCGAGGGGTTGGGAAGAGGCGGAGGAGATGGAGGGGCGTTTGAGGGGATTGGAGGATGGAGGAGGTGGTGAAGACATCGTGGTGGTTGTGTGTATGTGTTTGTGTTGAAGGAATGAAGTGATGGGTGGTGTTGGTAGTCGAGAGCCGACAAGGCTTGCTCGCTGCGCGGATGAAAACTCGTATCTCGATCTGTCTGGGGATTTCGGCAAAGCGCGATTCAGGATTAGGTTGTTAAATCATTCAGGATAGAAAGGGTAAAGGTGGTGGACTGGATATGGAGACAGCTTGGGGAAGATGATGCGATGAAGCGCGAATGAAAGAACGAAAGGCGGCTTATCGGTGTTACGGCCCCCCATCCGGCAAGTCTGCCGAGTGGTCGACTATCCGCCGGCGCGCTCCTGCGCCCGCCCGCTGCTTATTTCTACTTCACTCGTTCATCACTCAACTACTCGGAAGTTCTACAGTTCTACGATCAATGCGCCTGATCAGTCCGTAAGACGGATAATATTCATTCAAAATAACCACAATGCCACAAGGCGTAAGCGAAGGTGGATACTAACATTGCTCAAAAGGAACAAAGCTCAATCGCTCGATGACAGAAAAGTAACAGCTGACAAAACCCGAAATTGGAAACAGTCAAGTAAACGATATCATTCTCCCACTTCCATCTCACCTCTCATGCATGGATAGACACTGTGTTCGCTCTCAAACGCGCTCTTCTCCGAGCCGAGGGGCCCCCCCTTTCCAGTCAAGACGTTCGTAGTAGCGGAACACGAGGTCATATCCGTCCAAGTCATGCACGATCCGATCCACCCGACGATATCCTGCCACATTTTCCATCTTGGTGCGACGAGCTGCCTGCCGCTCAATGTACTTGACCTCCTTGATGTGGTCCAACTCGCCGTCGGCCGTAGTAGTCTCAGGCTTAGCCTCGAACAAGGTCACCGTGAAGCGTCCGGGCTTGAAGATGTTCACCACCTGCTGGATGATCTCCTGCGTAGTCTGGCCGTTCTGCGAGTGCGGCACGTTGGTCTCGAACGACGCATAGGAGCAGTGAGGCTCCGGGGTCACATGCACCGTGAAGTAGTGCGTTCCGGTGTTCTGGTCCGGGGTGGGGATGACGCCGTTGGCGGAGAATCCGCATGGGGTGAACAGGTAGGCGTCGATCCGGGACTCGGGGAACTTGGACTTAGGATAGACATCCGAAAGACCACAAGACTCCGACACAACCGTTCCCAGAGCGTGACCCTCGGTAGTCAGCTCAGGAGGCAAGACGCGGCTGCCGTTGGACGACACGTCATCCATATCGGAGTTGTTGCTGAAGACATCAACGTGGTCGTCATTGTCGGCCTCGAAGTTGCAGTAACGCTTCTCGGCAACAGCAGTAGCGTGGTCGAGGTAGAATTGCTTGGCGTTCTCCTCATCCAGGTCGGTCATCAACACCTCCAAAGTCTCATCCTGATCTTCGCGAGTCTGGTACGCTCCAGCTGCGGGCACTTGAAGCATCTTGGTCTCGGTCACCGGATCCTCAGACTCGACCCGAGGGCTGGTCGGGGGAGTGAGCAAGGTGTTGGGCTCAGTCAGGTAGAGGTACCAGTGCTCGCCGTTCATCTTGCCAATCATGTAGGCGCTGCCGTTGAGGAAAAGCTTGTCCATGGTGCGAACCTCGTCTCTCCAGCTGCGGTGGGGACCGCGCTGACGGTCAGGGAAGAGGAAGTTCTTGCGGCTGTAGAACACGCGGTACGGGGCCGCAGCGACGGCGATGCCGCGGGAAGGCGCCGTGGCGCGAGGGAAGCCACCGAACAGAGCGGCAATCTCGAGGATGCGCGGAAGTCCCGACAGCAGGGTCGTCGTACCACAGGTCTTGAGGATCAGCTTGTGGGGCCAGACGAACATGCTGGACTCGGACAGGAGATAGGCGTCCACATCCTCAGACGAGACAATTGAGAGCACTTGGCAGTTGACGAGATCAAGCATGTCCTTCCAGATCTCTTCGGGCACAGCCTTCAGGCCGGCAGGACCGGCGGAACCCAGTTCCTGAGCGGACGGGGCAAACCAAACCTCTAGAAGCTTCTCGGGGCCTTCGCTCACGTCAGTATAATGCCAGCATGCGCTTCTACTATAACAGTGACATACCTTCGAAGGCGTTGGTAGAATCGAGATCCTGGGTCGCCTCATGGTTGATCGTCAAGGACGGGGTCGCCATGAACGAGGACGGCGACGCCGTGTAGTGCTGGGGAATTCCAATGTAGACCATCTTGACCGATTGAAAATGGGGTAAAACTGATCGGTAGAGCGGATGGAGCAGCGATATAGCAGGTGCGCGCGACTGGATTTGTGGACCGTAGACAAAGAGCCTAGGAAGCACTATCTGCTGCCCAGACGAACAGGGGGGCTATGTCCGTCTGAGAGAGTAGGCCCTTAATCTTTTTTTAGGTAATTGGCACTCAGCCAAAGAGGGGTAGATTCGGTAGAAGCCTGAAGGGCTGCTAGGGAGGGCGGAACGAGAGGGAAAGGAGGAAAAAGCCTCTGGAAAAGGGAATGGTGACTATATCGTCGTAACCCTCGTGCTGGAAGATACCGATACCGGCGAAAGTATCGGGTCTAGCAGACGAGAGTATCTGCTTTTTTAAATGTGGGAGAGGAAAAAGTGAGGTTTGCGCGACTGGAGAAAAAAGGTGGGGTTCAGGCGTGTTATCGGGGCCTACTCGCGATCTGTTAGCCATGACAGAAACTTTTGACCCACCGGAGACCAAGTGGATGGAAGAGATTCAGAAGACGGAGACAACCTACTTGGCAGGCTTAGACAGGTACCGTAGTAGATCCTTCGGGTTCATGGAAGGCAGGACAGAAGACGAGCTTAAAACAGCACGATGTCGCGAAAAGCCACAGCACTGAACATCTGCGAGGCGACTTCCGACGGCAACGATAACGGGTAGGGCAAGAGTGCAGAGAGAAGCAGCAAAGCGATTTGGCTCTTTGATCACTCAATGAGTCAAAGACAACCAAAGCAATTAAACCTCTTCACCAGACAAGTGAGGGAAGAAGGGAAATAAATAAGATTTGGGAAAAAAGGCACGCGGACGTGGGGGGGAGGGAAAAGAAAGAAGTAGTTATTGACGGGCGATGGTTGAGCGATTATTATTGCTGTCCGTGATCTGTGTGGGCCCGGAAAAAGTTCGTGGGGCGGGCAAAAAAAGACAAGAGGCCAATCTGGGTTGGGCGCCAGCTGGGAATCAAGCGCAGAATCTGAGAGAATGGCGGGAAAACGGTTCAGAATCGGGAAACCTCCAATCAAGAAGATGAGGGGAAGATGCAGGAACATATAACTCACCTGGGCAATTATGAAATTTAGTCCAACCACACACGATCCCTGGAGAGGCAGGAGGGCGCGATGGATGAATAGTAAGTAGATGATGAGAGAAGAAGGCCAGGAATAAGGAATGAGCCGGTCGCATTTTCCCAGCCATACCAGATCCAGACGAAATAATACGGAAAAAACCCGACATTTCGTGCCCAACCAGGCAGGCGGTGGTACAAGGGTCACCAACTTGAGAGAGAGGGTGACGTCGTGTCTCCCCTCCCTTCAAGGAAACCGGTAACACAACTTCCTCCACTCCCTAGACACACTCCCAGCACTACTTATGAACATAGTATATACTTTGTTGCAATCAGCAAGTATATCATGCAGAGGTACAATTCGCTAGCTAGCATTCAAGAATAGCCCCGATTCCCTCCTTCTAAACACCCTTTTGCCCAAACGCCGATTCTGTCCATGCCCAGCAACAAAGAATCAACTAACAAGAATGAAGAAAAGATTCACGCATGCCTCTTCACCCACCCCCTAAGATGCACATCCAAAGTAGATACAACTCATGCTACTTGTTGTAGTGAGAGAGACATGTAGAATCAGGATGAGGACTCCACAATGGCATGAGCGAGGTCAACTTCCCCCGCGTCACTAATCTTTGCGGCCAGGAACTCGCCCACTTTCTGACTCAGCCGATCTCGAAGGCCATCCGTCACCATCGCGCCATGACCGTTGGCCAGTGCCATCCGGCCCTCCCGTAGCGTATTCAGCACCCCCAGCAGCACGCTAAGCACCCGCTCTGCCTCCGGCCGGCGTGGACTCTCCTCCGCCATCCCATCCTTGAGCAGGTTGCCGTACGTCGGCAGATTAGGCATGATCAGCACCCGCACCGCCTCCGCACCACCAACCGCATGTAGTCCGATCACCGCGCCATAGTGCGCCCCAAACGGCTTGGACGGGTCCAGGAACGTCTTCAGGCACGACCGGGCCAAGCGTGGCTTCAGTGTATGCGACGAATTGGAATATTTCTTGGCGATAAGGCCCAGAAGCGATGCCGCAAGGTCGCGCAGGGCAAATTGTTCCGTCAGTTCAGCACTGCCACCGAGTTGTCGGCCGATCAGGCAGGTCAAAATCGGTGGAACAAGTGAGGCGATCTATCAGGAGTCAGTCAAATGTAATCGGTGTTGTTCATGTGACAATCATGACTCACATAAGGGTCCACGTAGAGAGACTTGTTCTGTACGAGAGCCTCGGCCATGTGCATCACCTGCGTCAGGACAAAGACGTCCTTCAGTCCATGCGTCACCTTCTCCGAAATAAACTGCACGAAATATGGCACCAGCTGGTGTAATCCAGGGTCTTCTCGAAGACTAGCATAACCCGACGTCCTGTACTCCTCACTGGACTCGTCCAGGAAGGCGTTGCAGACCTTCTCGAAGTATAGCTGCAGCTCCTTGGAAAGCACATGCTTCACCAGGGGCTTGACGGAGACATTCCCTCCCCCACTCATGGCCGCCAATGTAGAGCTTGCGTTGGGTCCCTTGGACATCAGTTCCATGTTTCTCGAGTCGGCCGCCGTAGGATTCTGGGGGATGGACGGTTGTACACCTTCAACCGCCAACCAATGGGCTTAATGGAGTCAGCATGCCAACATGTCATTGTAGATATTTTCACATCGCAGCAGGGGCCAAGAATACCTGTGAAAGAGACCTCCCGAGGAACCCTGGGCAACGGCGCATTTATCAACTTCTCAAAGTCCACTTCCTCGTCCTCCACGTAGAACAGCGGCTGACCAGGCCCCAGTGATGCTTCTCCGAACCGCAAGGGCCTTGTAGACTCGTATCCGTACAGTGGCTCCACGTCCAGTACGCGCAGGGCCTGCGCGACATCTTGTGTTGTGAGTAGCGTGCGTCGACTGTGGCGCATGAATTTGAGGGCTTCTTCGAGGACCTGCGCGATGCGGTACTCGACGTCGCGGGCAAGGTTCTCGGTGACATCATTGCTGAGGTTCACGACACCGACCGACTCGGCGACATCGCGAATATTATCGGGGTTCCAAACGGACATGGTGGGTGCGGTGTTGAAGTGAAGGTGGAAGAACGGAGGCTGGACGTTGGAGGGTGGGTAGGAGGGTGTAACGTCGTCGGCTCGTCAACGAGGGGTCCGGTTATTTCGTGCAATGTGAGGTGAGTAGGTGATCATCAGATTAATTAATTATCCGGGAAGGGCCAAAATCATTCTGGAAGGCCCAGAGCAACAATGTTGAAATGAGTGGCAGCAGATAAATGCGACGCGGGAACGGAGAGAGCTTCGGAGGCAGAAGGCGGAGAAAACCTGCCGCTGGGCATCCACACGTGCGTCTTCAACTATGTCCGTGTCGGACACTTGCAAATGGAAAACAACACTATCATGTGTACAAACATATCAACTTCATCTTGCGTGAAAGCAACCCTGTTATAGAATACGATATTACATTTTTATATATTGAGTCAACCATAAGCGTGACGAAATGGAAAGTGAACCTGAACCGTTTATACTACTACTTTGCTAGGTCAGGTATACAGTGCCCTATCCTACCACAGGAGGACGCAATGTAAAGTCACGAAACGGACCTAGTCTTTCAATTCTTGATGCCTTTCATAGTCTTGAGCAGTACTTTTACTTCCAGTATTGAGAAAGAAGTACGCGAATGGTGACAATTTGATGACCGGTATTTGCTCGACTGTCTAGTCTTTGACCCCCTTCACCAATACATGGACATCTTTCGCATTTCTTGCCACTCCGTGGTCACTCCACTCCATAGTTTTCTCGTCTGTGTTGTATAGTTCGATCTGAGTCTTGTTGAAAATATTTGCAAGGCAAACATACAACTCAAGGTAAGCAAGGCTTAAGATACGGCGGTTAGTTACTATTTTCCATGGCTGATGTCCTGAAACTTACTTGATGCCAATACATGAGCGTGTTCCCTTGGAAAATGCAACGTTCCATTTGTCCAGTGTTTTGCCGCTTTCGCCAATCCATCTCTCGGGATTGAATTCGTCGGGTTTGGGGAAGATGTCTGGATCAAAGTGGATCATCCTTGTCGACATTGAGACTGCTGTCTGAAGACAAATGAGGATATTAGCTTGATCGGTTTTGGCTTATAGTGCGGATGCCTTGGCTTACTCCTGGTGGTATTAACTGGCCATCAACTTCAATTCCACCTTTGGGAACAATACGCGGGAGTCTGGATGGAGCTGGAGAGGACAGCCTAAGTGATTCCTTGATCACGGCGGTCTATCCATAAATCATTAGCGAATGACCCAGGTTATAAACAGGAAACGCTGTTATTTACCAGATATGGTAGGTTGCGTAGATATTGGTATTCGATAATCCCATCTGCGTTCACAGGCTGGCACTCGAGCTCTTCTCTCAGCTTCTTTGCAGAATTTGGGTGCGTTAGCAGGTAATAAGTAGCGCAGGATAGCGCGTAGCTTGTAGAATCTGTCCCAGCAAAGCAAAAGAAGTAAGCTTCATTAACAAGCCCGTCCATAGACCGCGATGGAGAGTCTTTCTCTGCTTGAAGAAGCGAACTGAAAACCGCCATTCGGGTATTGCCCTCTTTTTGGTCACTTGAGGCAAGATTTGTAGAGATATCTCTCATCCACTCCAGACATCGCTGGTAGATTTTAAATTATTAGTGAGCTAAGCTTCTCTGAACAATGGCATTGAGTGGTGCTTACTCACCTGTCTGAAGTCGATGTAGCCCGGGGCGACTATGTCCGTCAGTCTGGGAGGGAGGTTAAGGGCAATCCGGGCGAGGATAGGAAAGCTTCTGAACAGATGGAATCGATCCGCAAACATGTCTATGCTGGAAAGGAACGGCGGGCAGGCTGTTCCCGACATCACCAGGTTCAAAGATCTTCCATACAGCAATACCATTATGGATCAGCCTACGGAGGATACTGTTACCTGACCTTCATATTCTTCAGCAGGTCATGGAGTACGAAGAACTAACCGTGACACAACGATAGAGCTGTTGAATGTTTAGCGGGCACTGCGTCTCCGCTGCGATCTTTGCTTGATTGATAGCTTCTGTCACGATCATTTCCAGCTCGGGGGCCAGAAGATCGACATGTCTTTTTGCAAAGGGGGTTTTCACAATATCATAACGGAGCTTGTATTCGTGAGGATCGGTGAGAAAGGCAATGGAGTCATTGAACCCAATACTGCCAAAGAAGGCAGGATCCTTGTAAAAGTCCGTTCCGTTTTTGAATACTCTGAGTTTCGTCAGCATATTCTCACATAATTTATTTGCTTGTGTACCTATTGAAAAAGTCACTGTCGTTAATGTGAAGTTCATTGGGATGAATACGGACGACAGAACCTGTGTAGTAGTGAGCATAAAGAGTATGATGGTCATTTTCTTCAGCAGTGCCAGACCATATTTCGCATGTAGCGATGGAAATGATTTGGAGTACTGTCCACTCAGGATGACATCTTTATAGAATTCGTACCAACTGGTCGCAGCAGCAATCCGTGGTCCGGGGAATTTGCTGAGGGGATGGAAGTAAAGGCGAATAGTAATAACGCTACAAGCATAGATAAGGATACCAATGAGTAATATCAAGCTGATATTAGCAGGCAGGACTTGTTCAACTAGCAGATTCAAAGCAGCCATGACTGAATGTGCGAGCGAGTATAAAGCAGTGTATTACTTGAAATATAGATTTTGGGGATTTAGAAGAGCAGTCTTAAGTTGCCCTCGGAAAGGCTCCTCTCCTAGGAGTATGTCCGCAGTCACACGGGATATAAACCTAAATGTTGTCCATTGCCTATCTTCCTTTCTTTAGGGATACTCCTACCGTTGTGTACTACAGTCATAATGCACGAGCACCGTTCTAGATTGCCCCTGCAGAGCGCATTGCCCCTACATTCCAAGGTATGCCGTCAAACATAAGTAGTTTGAGCGTCCTGCATAACGGTTGGGTTTGCACAACAGTGCTCATCGGTCTGATAGAACTACCCAGTAGGGTTGTAGAGTGTTTTCAGTTTCATGTACCGGACTTTGGCGTTTGTAAGCCATTAAAATCCGCTAGTTTCTATATGGAAATACTAACTTTATCAATGAGCTACCGGTATCTCTAATGAATCCTAATAAATTAGAGTTTAGTACTGGTATTTACTCGTGATTTTTTGAAATTGAGACGACGTTTTGGAGTGAAATTTCAATATTACTGCAATGGCTTCCAGGAATTGGAATTCCAACAACCGGGTCACTATCCAGGCGCATGGGATGTATCAGACTGTGTAATCTTCAGCGTCAATCGGCAGGTTCTTATCTGGAGCTTTGTAAGCTTCGGAAACTCACACATAATACCAAAGAAACTGAATCTTGTTCAAGCAACAAGCAAAACAATCCATATCCAGCAGCATCAAGGATTCCTTACATCAAGGAGTACCCTGCATCAACAGGAATAACGACACCCGTGACATATGAAGAACTATCGGATGCGAGCCACAATACACTTTCCGCAACCTCTTCCGGCCGTGCACAGCGTCCCAAAAGGGAGCTTTGCTTTGCAAGTACGTCCTCACTGGCACCTATCTTGGTCAGGGTGTCGGAAAGCATTTCAGTTTTGGTCATGCCGGGGGCGACCGCATTCACTCTAATCTGGTTGTGGCCGTTTTCTTTCGCTGCAGTGGTGGTCAAAGCGGCCACACCGTGCTTGGAAGCACAGTAGGCAGGCATAGTAGGCCTCGTCTTCAGAGCACCACTGGAGGAGATGTTGATAATGGAGCCGCCGCGACCTTGCGTGATCATCTGTTGCAATTCCCACTTCAGGCAGTAGGCGACGCTGGAGAGGTTGGTATCGATCACTCTACCCCATTCGGCCTCGTCCAGCTCTGAAATCGACATGGAATTACCGTTCACGCCTGCGTTGTTCACTGCAATGTCAAGGTTGCCGAATATTGTGATTGTTTCCTCAACTGCGTTTCGGATGCTACTGGAGCTGGTGACATCTGTCTCGATGAAGCGTGCTTCATAACCTTGGCTAATGAGTTCCTTCTCGACTTGCCTACCGATTGCCCCGTCAATTTCGGCAATAGCGACTTTCACGCCGGATCTAGCGAGTGCAAATGAAATGGCTTTGCCGATGCCCCTCCCACCTCCTGTCACCATAGCAGTTTTTCCATGTAGATCAGGGTAGATAGCCATTGTCAGGTGAATCAATAGCCAATTGCTATAGGTTACTAAGTGGGCTTTTGTGGTAGGACGAACTTGGGGAATGCTAGAAAAGAGTTCTCTTATCGAAGGTATCATTCATGTGAGTCGGATGCCTTCTTAAAGCAAGAAAGCGGTCATTAGGTCATTTGTATAGTTCTCTCTCAGTGCAGCTCATTGCATCAATCGGATGCATTTACATGCGTCCATTCCTTTGGGAAACGTCGAGAATGCAGATGCACATCACAGTCTGGTGGAGGGTTCTATGAATATTTGGCTTGAATGTATAGATACTGGTAGTAGGGAATGCGAACACGTACACAGGCACGTCATATGCTTGGGGCTTAGCTGCTCCACCCAAGGGCTATGAGGTCCAGTCAGTCTCACTGCAGACCCCAGACAAGCAGACTCTACCACAAGTACTGCGCAAATTTCTCGCCGTGACTATCTTACAGTACCTTTGCTGCTTCGACTACCATGGATGGGGCTATCCACTCAATCTTCATATAGTACGCTGAATGAAATCAGGGCTAGGTAGGCTACCAGCCCGCTTCGTCCTTCTGAGCTAAGGCAGCAATACTGATCAATCATCTTCCGAGACTTCGATCGAGTCCCCACACTATATTGAAAGGGTGATAATATCCAATTTTTCTAGACTGCAGTCTTTGCTCGTCGCATAAGTCTTGTGCATTCTCAACAGGACGTAGATTTGCACCTGTGGAACAAACGGCGACGCGGCTGCACCTGCCCAGTCAGTTAACTGGTTAAACTTCTCATTTCAACTCGATTGTCATTGGGAAGTAGTACTGCCGATCTGGTAGGATGTGTATCACGAGCTCCATAGCAGCAGGGCAGGTATACAGCATTACTGTTTGAGATCAGTGAATATGTCAGTTCCCTGTAGATCCTTACAAAGAATCACAAGCAAACTTCGACTGATTTTGTTCCCCTGCTGGTAATCACAGCATTGGGAATGCGGTTATCAACTGTACTACCCAGCTGTGAGGGAGAGAAAGAGGTCAACTGATACAGTTAATGGTGGCGCCAAAACCTTGGGGTGATGATAAGGAGGCGTCACGGTAGCTATTTGGACAGGCATCCATCCACATCTAGTATCTGATTCACATAGGGGGTCACGATAGACCTTGGATATCAAAAAAGCTCGCCCTATGAGTATTAGACCAAACCCTGCTTGTCCACCCTGATCTATCATTTCTATCCCTGATACTCACTTATCAAAGCCGTGAAGATGGGATGGGACGCTGGCAATGTCGTCGAGGTGAAATTACCTCCGCTGTTTATAAGCTTCGCTGCGAGAAAGGCTCCAGTCAACAGTCATTATGAAACCATCAGAGAAGAGTCAGAGCAGTGGCTCATCAAGTATAAATTTTCGTTTCTCTCATCCTAGTATCATTATCTAACTCTCTGAAGGACGTGCAAATTTGATAAAGATATGGCACGGTTCGTTAACAAGACCGACTTCGGCTATTTTGTGGGCATCGTGGCTCCTAATGCAGACCGAGATGAGTTACGAACAATGTTCGACTGGGGGAATTGGGTACGTATGCCTTGCTTTCTACCAACTGTTTATGCCGATTCTGCTCAAGGTCTTTCCTTTTGATGATGGTAGTGTTACCCTGACGTTATGGCACTTGCGTTTACTCGTGCTCACATATCGATATGAACAGCTTTCGATAACGGAGATTTGAAAGTGGATCTGGACGGCGTGCGAAGAATGATGGACGAGCTTTTGGCTGTCATGAATAACGAGACAACCTTTAGACCAAAGGACCCTCTCGTTGTTGCTTTCAAGTCCATCTGGGACAGACTATCTGAAGTGAGTGCCTCACCCATGAGATTGTAATCCTCGCTAATGATCCAGTCGAACTGCTCTGCTGGTAATCACATCCTCAACCTAAGATTGATCTGGATGCATAACTGATCTTTAGTACGATGCCAGGCACCCTTCGACGGTTTGCTAGATCAATGCAAGACTACTCTGAAGCATGTATTCAGCAAGTTATTATGCAGTCTAAATTCCAGGGCAGCGAAACACTCTCAGTCGACGAGTTTATTGCAATGAGACGTGGGAGTATTGCAACAACGCCCCTATTTGCGCTGTTTGAGTAGGTTGCTTTCCTACTTAGTTCGGATCAAGCGTGCTAACTATCAAGATACGCCTATGGGTTGAACATACCAGATGAAGTCTTTGAGTGTTCATCAATCAAAGAGCTGGGGAGAGTTAGCACTGAAGTGACAGTCATGTAAGATCCTTGTCCGTTGTAGAAATCAGCTACTAACTCGACAGCCAAAATGACATTGTTTCCTATCGGAAGGAGCAGGTATGTGCATATGTATGGCCCGCCAGCGGAAGGTGCAGAGTTCCTAACCCTCCGTCATCAGCTCCTTGATGAGAATAGCAACTTGATCAAGATATATCTCCGGGACGGTTTCTCAGTTCAGGCTGCTTTTGACGAAGCGGCAAAGTTACTGGCTACCTGCTACCGTGACTGGTATTTGGCACTAGCCGACTTACCCAGTTGGGGCGAAGATGTCGACGCTCAGGTTCAGACGTATATTGAGGGGCTCCAGAACGTTGTTCTGGCTAATATTCATTGGAGGTAAGATCTTCTCTCAACTTCGCTATAATGTCTAATGGTGGTGTAGTTTCCGAGCTGAGCGGTATTGGAAATCGAATGCGGAGATACAGAAGGATAGAACGATTGAAGTGCGACTGACATGAGGATGTCTTGGCTGTGGTGAAATGACTTAGATTGAGTGTGATTCAACACTCAGATTGCATGACTTACGTTCCATGGCAATAGGCAGGCTGGCAGGCTGGCATGCAGTGCTCTTTGCCAGTATTCGGATTGCTGATGCTTGCTTAAACTTATTTCGGAGCATTGTGACTTCATAGAATCATAAAGAATGACTCTTGTTATAGATTAGCCATTCTGTCCGGTTGTCTAGACGCAACATATTTCAAAAGGGTGTGAAAACAGGAAAAAGAAATATCACAGAAGAGGTCTAGATATCTCAGTGCCTGAAATTACAGGCCATCGAGTCACATTTATATTATACAGTAAGATTTTCTTTTCTTTTATTTGTTGTAGTATTATGAAGCACAGTATATGTTGGATTGGTTACTCTCACACTCGTGACGCAACTTAGACTGTTTTCTTGCCTCGCCTCCGGATATTTTCCTTCCTACCCTTACAGGTCACCCACTCCTAGCCCATCTGGATCCTCGAAACAATGGCTGGGTCACATCTAGATGGCATGGAAGCAGAGGCGTTCGAACTACCAACAAACATCACTACAATTCCTCAAACACCAGTCCAAAGCTACATTCAGGAGACGCTAGCATCAATCCTGGATGAACTGTCCTCCCCTGAAGGCCAACCGTCCATTACTCTCAAACAGAGAGGCAAAAGGTTCGCATCATTATTCATCAACCCACAAACACAGGCCCTGGAGACCTCAGAGATGCAGACATACACCACCTACAGATGGCCCGGCAGAGATGAGAACGAAGCCTGGAGATTCAGTACGATATATTGTCACTGTTCATAGCCTCCTCTGATGAGAACACAGCTGTCACATTACGGGTCCTCGCAGCCATTGCAGAGGCAGTTCAGGAGGGGTTGGTGGTTTCCAAGAGGTGAGCAGCACATATCACCTGTATACTCTACCACGATTTAATTACTAACTTCAGAATAGAGACATATACTACAGTGACCCCACCTGCTTTGGCACCCAGAGAACCGTCGATACCCTCGTTGATGACTTGACCCACACAATGGGGGTGGATCGTGCTGCATTATATGTGGTTTGTAGTACTCAGTAGTGCCCACTTCTAGGATGCTAAGTACGCCAATCACAGGAAGCAGCAGCAAAGGGACTCGTTGTGGGATACTATCAAATGATCAGTAAAAGCGGTGCAGTGGTGGATGCGCGTTTCTCAAACCAGGTCTGTTGCACTCATCACCACTATACACAGCATGAGATGACCTCTCCAGGATACTCTAGTGCCTAGAACGCAAGACATCCACAAAATCGATCTCGCAGATGTTACTTGGGTACTGGTTCTAGAAAAGGAGGTCCTTGCTGCCGTCAAACCCTCTATTCCAAAGTGGAGTGAACTAACACCCTCAGGCCGTATATCGTCGACTCGCGAGCAGCAACTATCAATTCAAATCCGCAGCAGGCAAGGGTATCCTTGTTACCGTACGTCCTTGTTCCCTCATCACATTCCAAGAGAAATACCAACAATTCCAAGGGGAAAGGATATCCCGACCTCAACACTCGGGCATTCGTCCGAAAGCTCTTCGACCACAGCCGCCAACTCACCAAACGACCGCAGTTCTACGCCTTAGTAGACGCCGACCCAGACGGAATGGCCATCATGGCCACATACAACTACGGTTCAGTGGCTTTTACACACGAGAACCGGAACTTGAATGTCCCAGGTCTCCACTGGCTGGGACTGAGAATAACGGATGTGGTTGCAGGCGCTGATCCGCTAGACGATAACACAGTACTCCATCTCACAAAAAGAGATAGGAAGAAGGTTGTCGCTATGCTGTCCAGAAATCCTATCTGGGCGGCCGATGGCCCGGAGCCGGGATGGCGAGTCGAGCTGCAGCGGATGCTCATGCTGAATGTCAAGGCAGAGACGGAGATCCTATATGACATGGAGGGAGGGTTGACCCGATGGTTGGATCGGAAGCTGAGTAGTAGGTAGGTACTAGGACATATCCATGACTTATGCCATTATAACAACGAAATAACGATATGTACTAAACAAAGCATCTATGCATTCCCGACCATGCATCTACCCCAGAAAAGATATATAAGAATAGGAGAATAAAAGAAAGAACGAACGTACCACAACGCCAACCCAAGCAACCAATGCATCCATCCATCAATCCATCCATCCATCCAAGCTTCCAAGCTATGCCACAATTCCTCCACGACACACAAGAGTATAGACAAGACAGCGAGCAACCAGCCCACCAACCAGGTACTTATATACGAGCGAAATCCCCTACCCTACCCATCACCACTCAACACATATTAACCCAAGGATGGGGTATTCACAACCCCAATCCTTTCCGAACCTCATCCCTCACCTTCCTTTCATACTCCCCCCTCCGCTCCCTCCACATCTTCGCGGCCTCAACATTCGCCGGAGACTCATCATTCGGCTCCGCCAACATACTCATAACAGAGATGAGAATCTTCTCCACGCTCTGAATAGGCGACCACCGCTCCGAAGCGTGTTCGTAATGGTTGGGGTCGTCACCGGGGGGGTGAAGGATGGAGATACACACGGTTCCGTTGGGGTAGACTATACACATTCATCCAGAACAAATTAGCACATGCCCAACAACCCAAATTCTTTTTAATTAAAAAGCCAAATGATAATCGAAGAGGAAAAGAAGATCATATACCATTAGGATGCCAAACCCCACCACCCACAAACTTCATCGTCGGCGGACTAAGCGGATAATCTTTGGGAAACTTCAATTCAGCCGCGAACACGCCGCCCTCAAAGGGCGTGCCTTCGGGTCCCTGGATCAGTGCTTCCCAGTGGAACATGTCATCTTCGGTGACGGGGCCGGCGGTGATGCCCTCGGGAGGGTTGGTAGAGAGGTTTTTGTATTCGTGGAAGAGACGTTTCTGGGCGACGGAGGACATTTTGATCACTGCCTTTTTTCCCTTTTTTTTTCTCTTGAAAGAGATTGAGATTTGATTTAAAAATTGTTTTGATTTTTCTCCGGGCGTGGGAGGGGAAATCTGGTGCTGGTTGGGGTTTCTGTGCTGGTGGCGTGGCGGTCTGGCTGTGTCTAATCTGGCGATTAGATAAAGAGGGGAGGAGAGTGCGGAGATCGGACCGGAGAGGGGAGGGTGAAAGGACACCGGGGGAGATGGATTATGTACCTGGGGTGGCGTTGAGGAAGATAAGTTAGGATTAAGAAAACTTTTTTTAAGAGGCTGGGTTACTACTACTGGGGAAAGGTGAGTGAGTGGACTGGAATTGAATTGGAGGAGAAATCAAGGTTTGCCACTTTTGAAAGCCAATGAATTGATGGAGTGATTGAGGTTCCATTGATTGATTGATTGTTGAGCCGGTGGGATGTGGGTGCCTGAGGCTGCAATGTTGCTTATCGCCGCATTCGTCAGGGGATGGAGCATTGATGGACTAGATATAATTATGTATAGGATTGTTCATTTTCGCGTGATATTGTACATTTTATTGGACGTCACTGCCGTTATGGTACATAGAGCAGATCGTTGTCAGTAACCTGCAAACCCTGATATGCATTTCAAGCAGGGCCGAGAGTAAATGACATCAACGTCTACTCCGTACTCGGCCCGATCATGTCGAGTATGCTATAAGTATGTCAGAGCCGTTACGGTGATTCTCGTTACACCGAACTCATGAGTTCTGTTGTAGTACCCTCGCACGAGTAAGAGGAACCGTCTCACGGTGTCAGCCGGCATCCTGATCTAACTGTTTGTTGTATGGTCGATCAGCCGCTTAGAACCAATCGAAATCATCGCCTCCCTCGCCCTCGTCGCCTTCATCTGCCCAAGGGTCCTCTTCCTGACCCCATGTGTTCTCAGGCTCCTTTCCCCACGGACTCTCGGGCTCCTCCCCCCAAACATCCCCATACGGACCCGTTTGACCTGGCGCCGGTGGTTGTTGGTCTACAGGTGCTGCTTGCTGATCGGGAGCAGGCTGGCTGCCTCCCATCCCACGAGACATGGCGTCGTAGCCAGCCATTGCGCCCGCGCCTGCTGCTCCAGCTGCTGCACCATCAGCCATTCCACCAGCTGCCCCGGCGCGACCAAGAGTTCCCGCGGCCGCTTCCCCAACGGCACCTGCTTCACCGGCTGCTGCGCCCCCGGCGGCAGCACCCCCAGCAGCTGCCTCACCACCAAACCCGGGGATCCAGAGGGGCATGAAACCGAATCCGCCCGAGTTGCTATGGCGACTAAAGTAGTCAAAGTCGATGCTCACAGCGGTTGCCAGCATCACGGCACGCTGGTCGAACGTCATCCCAGTAGTCGCACGGTTCTTGTCGAGGAACTCTTCGCTGGGGGAAGCAGAGTCCATTCTAAGTGCATAGACACCCGTATCTGTGAAGATTTCCCGGGCAAATCCGGCAAAGTCGCGATTCACGGAGCCGATCAGCTGTTTGTCAGAGGAACGTAGGCCAAAATCCCAGGACAAGAAGGGCTCGTCGACATATGCAAATTGGTGGTATTCGCCTGTTTCCTGGCCACTTTGAGATGATTTAACCAACTGCATTTGCTGTGTGTTGGACATATCCATCTGGTTAAGTGGTAGCTTCTGTGTTTCCATCTCTGTCGCTGGATTTGGCGAGTGGTGATATGTGAAGAGGTTGTATTTGCGTCGTAGCGGGGCCCATTGTTGCTGGGCCTCTCCGATAACCCGCATTTCATCCAAGCCCAAGGATGAAACCCGAGCATTTGAATCCCCTGTAGGGTGAACCAGAGATCCGGTAGAGGTCGTATGTAGTGTGGTGGACGTTGAATAGGTACCCTTTGCCAGGTCGAGAGGATCATATACGCGGATTCGGGAGTTGATCCATGAGAACGGACGGTGGAACTACACAGTCAGCATCATCCACAAGTAACCGGCAGATTGCAACCCACCCGAAGCACTTCATTCTCATGCCTGTCAAACACATGCGTCACGAAACTGCGATGCGTCCGGAACGATTGTCGCGCCATCATGTTCACCATGCCTTTCTCTTGCTCCGCCATATAGCCGATATGATTGCCGTTGGCATCCATGATGACGTACTTGTTGGCTTGTTCAAAACCAATCATCACATTCATGAGCTCCAACTGCCGCTGCACCACCAGACCTGAGTTTGCGAGAATTCCCGTCGCCGGATGGGTCTCTTTTATCACGCCATGAGGGTCTTCGGGGATGTGGACTGGAGCGAGGAGGGTGTTCTGGGAGGGGTCATATTGTGAGGCAGGGGTTTGGGGGTTTTCGGAGGTTGTCTCTGGATTGCTAGGCTCAGGTGCTCGCGATGCCGGGACTTCTCTTCTGATGGGCTCTGGCCTGCGTATGGAGTTTCGGGGGCCTCGGGGGTTGGGTCGGCCGCGAAGTGAGCTGGCGAGAGCTCGACCGGGAGCTCGAAGGCACTGCGCCGGCGGTGTTCGGAGCGCGCTCCACATTCCAGTGATTGACGCCAGTCAGTATTGATGTATGATGCAAAGTTAGACGAAGATACGTGAGGTAATTGTAGCACCGAGAAGTATAGTTGAGTTAGCTGAAGATGAAAGAGAAAGAGTGGAAGATTCCCGCGATGACGAAGGTGCGGGAGCGGAGTTAACGGCGATAAGACGCTGATCATCCATCCGCCCTCGTTTTGCCTTCATCCACCCCGCGAATTGATTGAGAGATAAACCGAAAAATTCTCCAGTACTTTTAAGTCCATTTTGAGAATGCTTCCATACGCTATACTGGGAGCCTCGGATTATCACAAATCGTCGAACGGTTCGGTCACATGAAAGCGTTGTGAATAGCGCGTCCCGAAATTAATAAATATATATTTTGAACCACGGCAGTGCTTTTGAGACGCCTTTTTAGTTGTTGCTGATGATGGTTCTTAGTACTAGCATCTTGACGACACCATCATTTCCACAACCAGCAGACGGTATATACTTAGTAGTCAACGGAAGAAGCGTTCATACTATTCTGTGCACCTAAACCTGTCTTTCCAAGTTCTGCCTACATGAACTAACCTACTCTACAGCCGGAGCGCTGATTGCGATCCAGCTGCTTGAACACATAGTGCCGATGGAACTAACATTGGAATGCACATTAATCGCTATAACCACGCCAGGAAGTAAGCACCGAGGTCCAGAACCTATGAATCAGGTATGGTCTGATGCCTCTGATCAACAACTCAATCGCAAGGCGATGACCCGGAATTCGAGCTGCTGCCTATTCATAGCACAAAGGCAACTGCTTGTGCAATATCCAAGAGCGCTTTGACACAAACAAGGCAATAATGCTGCAAGAGCCACTCAACCGCGACGCAGTTCAACGCGCAGGCCTCAAAAGTAACCCTAAGCAACAGGATACCCAAGACATATCCAGAGCTGATAAGCACCAACACAGACACCAGTAGTTCCAAATCCAGCCGAAAAAGTTACACCACCTCTTGCGACAACTCAATCACAAAAGACCCTTGCGCGCCAACTCAATCTTCCGCGCCGCCTCACCCGCCTTGTATCCTCCCTTCGACACACAAACGGCACTTCCTTCGCCAAGTTCAACCTTCTCTTCGACATCGGGGTGCGGACACGGGCAATGGTGCGGGAAATGGACGCATGCGAGGGTACCAGGACAGAGGTATTTATCGCAATGGGCTGTGCTAATTAGCTTCACACGCATATCCCAATAAAAGAATCCACCACTTACCTGAATCCCACTGACTCTGATACCGCGAGCTATCACTCGGAACATTTTGCGCCGCCTGCTGACGACCCTGGTGACCACCACCACCACCGCCGCCACCTCCAAACATATGCTCAAAGAACTGGAACTGCGCGTGAGCCACAGAGGCAAGTAGAAGAAGGGCTCCGAGGAGCCGAATCCAAGAGAACATAGCGAAGTTAGACTCGACAAACAACCGAGCAATATGTCCAAATCCAAAAAAAAGCGAAGCAAACTAAATTGCAGAGCAAAGCAAGCAAAGGAACTAAGTATATAGTTGTAGATAGATAAGTTACCGGCCATCAGGCCGCATCCGGCACGTGACCTCACCCGCCAAGTCCCATCTCCGATCCGCGAAAAAAAGCAGGCCCCGGGAAATAGAGCGAGCCATCTCTCCCCAGTTCAATCCCCATTGAACATCACCACCCCCCAAATCCACACAATGTTCCAACCTCGATTGCTAGCGCCCCTCCGGGCTCTAGAAAGGGGACTTACCAGAGCCCCCACGGCCGCCACCACCGCCATCCGCAACAACAACACCTCCTCGCTCCTCCGCAACACCTCCTCCATCCTCTCCGCAACCAGCAACAGCAGCATATTAACACAATCCAAGCTCACCCCGCTAGTATCCCCAACATTACACCAATTCCTCCAAGTCCGACACGCCTCCCACGCCTCCCAAGGAACCGCGAACCGTCACTCCCGCGATCCGGCCGGAAAGCGTCTCGGCGCGAAACGCACAGCCGGTGAATACGTCGTCCCCGGATGCATCATCTTCCGGCAACGAGGCACGAAATGGTTCCCTGGTGAGAACTGCGCCATGGGCCGCGATCATACCATCTACGCTGCTGAGGCCGGGTATGTGCGGTACTACCTGGACCCCGAGCGTCATCCGGATCGGAAGTACATTGGAGTTGTGTTTGAGAAGGATGGGAAGTTGCCGACGCCGAAGAACGCGCCGACTAGGAGGAAGTTGAACCGTGTGGCGGTTCGGTTTGAGCCTGAGGAGGAGGTGGCTGCCAAGCAGGGTGATTTGGTGGCTAAGATTGGTGAGGACGGGACGCAGGTTGGCAGTGCTACGAAGGTTGAGGCTGCTCAGGCTGCCGTTCAGTTGCGTCCTGGTTATATGTACCGTGAGGCCAACTGGAGTATTGGTCGTGCTGCGGAGAAGGCTGGCATTACGGCTAAGCCGTATAACCGCAAGAACCGCTGGTTGGCGTGGAGGAAGAGGACTGCTAAGGCTGATCGGTTGGCACAGATGAAGAGTCTGAAGAATAAGAAGAAGAAGAAGGGTGGGAAATAGATGATTTGATGGAGGGGATTATGTCGGTGAGGGGTTGACTGCGTGTGTGTGATATATTAGTTCTGGTTCTAGGGTTTCTTTTTGTGTCTGTCTACCTATATGTATGTATGTATTATAAGACGTTTGAATGGGCTGCAATTACTATTTCCTTTCTCTATATTAAGAAACAAGAACTGATGCTTTAACAGAGTAGCAGACTCCAGGGTATATTGCTATCAGAATCAGTCTCGCGAACACACTGATTGATCAAAGCAGCAAACATAAAAAGAACAAGCAGATACTCCAGACCCCATACATTCATCGTAGATGATCGTCGAAGATATTACCCCCACTAGATCCATTCATTACTGGTCAAACAACCTCCCCAATATCAAGCTTTGACAGACAAACTCATTGCCGACAATCTTGACATTACTGTTCACTCCCAGCTCATTGCCGTCAAAAGATTCCATCAGCTTCGACCGCTTACGCTTCCTCGAACCGGCGGTCGACAATGAACTACCCAGTGCCATGGCCTTAGCGGAGGAGGCTCGATCATCGTCATCGACATAGATCCAGTTCCAGCTAGTGCCATCGACTCCATCCGTTTGCGTTGCACTCAGGATCGCGCGCGCAGACTTGAGATCAGGCACGCGCTCGATGCGAGAAGCACCCAACGCATAGGTCAAGAAGAGATACGCCTTGCGTTTCTCCTCGTCTGCTCGACCACTGCGTCCCGTAACAAGAAGCACGGATTGTCCGTTGAGAAGATTGGGCCGGCCGGCGATGGTCTCAGACAGTCGAGCCTCTGTGGCAGGGTACGGGGCTAGGAAACGAGACTTGGTCGCGCCGTTGAGGTAGGTGGACTCCCCGGCTGGGAGGAGGTATATTTCCCAATCGAGGATTTGTCTTCGGGCAACGCAGTCCTCGATCCAGCGGTCAGAGAGGCAAGGGAGATTGAGTGCTAGGGCTTGCATGTACTTTGACCGACGAGAATGTTTGTCGGCTATCAGACAGGCAAATCCCACGTCTGCGGCACCACTAGTCAGCCGCAGATGGCCGTCTTGGGTACTAGGGAGTGGAGCAGAAGACTTGGTAGGTGTAGCAACTGGTGCACTGGGAGGGAGTTCGAACAACTCATTAAACCCGTCCTCTAGAATCCGGCCGTCGTTCTCCAGAATCATTCTGGCAATTCGTGATTTGGCCTCATTGTTGTCTCCGTATGACACCGCAAATACCATACCGGCAAATAGACCAGTGGAAAAGCGGAAGCTGCGCGAGAGTCGAGCGCCAGGGGACATGGGCGTGGAGTGTCTATCACCTGGCGTTTGGGGCCCACTTTCGGAAACAGCAGGCCCGGAGTCGTAGCTGAATGCCCGGTCTTTCAACTGATTCCAAAGGATAGTATCTAGGTAGATTCGGGAAATAGGAACAGTGATCCTGTTCTCTGTAACTGCTAGTCCTGAGCCGGGGAGACTTTTGCGCTGCTTCGGTGTCAAGATAACGGAGGAATATCCATATACGTCAGTCATAGGAATCAGTCCGTTCGCAGCTCCCTGTTCGATATCACTCAAAGTGAGCTTGTCGGCGAACCCAGAGATGATATGTGTCACCTTGGGAACATCGCGCATGTCCACCTTGACACCATCACCAATACGCAGCTCAAGTCGTTTCACCGCGCCAGTGGGTATCTCAAGCGGCGCGCTATCTTCGAATTTGACCAGATACCGCGACTGTGATGTGCCAAAGGGCTTGCCAAAGCACGTTGCAGGATAATACGCGCGCTTTGGCCCGCTCCATGGGGCAAGGACTTGGTTGACGGCGATAGGTACGTTCTCATGGCTAACTGAAGGCTGAGCTGGTTGTTGAACTCGAGGCGGTGTTTCCACAACTGGATCCTTTTCAGTTGCTATGTCTGTTGGTTGGGGTGCGACTGGTTCACTGGATGGCTCAGGTATTGAACTGGCCGCCTGATCCTCGTGAACGGCAGGCAGTTCTTCTTGAACGGGAGCATGCTCTTCAACCTCAGCAGGCACCTGTTTTACCGGATGTGAGCGACCTAGAAGCCGAGACCTCTCTTTACGAGAGACGTGATACTGAGTAGAATCATCCATATCCCATATACTCTCCGCTCTTCTAGCAGGTCTGGACCGTCTCCGATAGGTTGGCATTAGGTTGGTGGCCGGCTCAGACGGCTTCTCTGGCTCCACCTCAGTGATAGGTGGCATCTCCTTCTCTGGAGAAGGTAAGACATGAGTAGGCGCGCGAGGTGTAACAGGGAACACTGGGTCGGAAGCGTAAAAGCTCTGCCCACCGTTACCGCGGCGCTTCTTCCTTGGCTGAATAGGAGACATTGCAACCGCAGACCGGAACTCCCGGTCTTCAACGGACAGGATATTAATGTCAAGGTTGAAAGAGCCAGCCCCAATCTGTGGTGAAGCATCGGCTGCGATTTCCGTCAGTGCCCTGCGCTGTCTGCCGCTTGGGCTGGACAGAATTTTTGAGTTATGGAACGAGGAAGGTTTCAAAGGCGACGAGCTATCTGCAGCCATCGGTTGAGAACGAGACCCCCGTTCATGCGCATCCATGTACACCGGCGGCAAGTCGTCATCTTCTTGATCGGCTGCATCGGTTGTATTATGATCGTTTGGCCACCTTTGGTGACCAAGGCGGCTGGGACTGGTTTCCGGAATGCTTGTCATTGGTATGATTTCTGCAAAAGCCCTAGGAGCAACAGGAGTCTCGGCGACGCGCGAGGGCATAGATGAGGACTTGTCGGGTCGATCCAACGTAGATGGTTCGTTGCCTGTATCCGCGCCCCCCTGCACAGCTGAATTGCTTGACTCCATGTTATGCTCTTGAGCCAACGAGGGCCGTGGAGTCTGGGAGCGAGATGGACTGCCTAGCTCTGATCCAGGCCTGCTCACCGAGTGAGCGCAGCCTAACTCGAGCGATCGCCGGCTGGTCTGGGACGCTGAAGGGGGAGAAGAACGTATACGAACTTGCTTTGTGGGCGATGGAGTTGCTCTGTCTACATTAGACAAAGGGCCCATATGAGCCTGAGAGCCTGACTGATGTATGCGCTGCGCAGTCCATTGCTCCTCTGTGTCATCATTACCAGGATCCCTCCGACCAGCGGAGCGCTGAGAGTCCTTAATGACCGAGACCTGTGAGGAGTAGCATTCATGCAACTGCTCATCCTGTACAAAGCTGCCAGATAGCGAAAGCGACCTTTCTCGCGCGTTTACCGCTTCTCCATTGGTTGGACACGGACTTTCATGCAAGGCAAGAGCTTGCGATAGGCGGTCATGCGCGCTCGCAGCAGCAGCACTGGTTGTGGAAAGGTCGTGGCAATTCTCTTTATCTTCCTCGGCTGAACCATCGAGATCGTAAGGCCGTGGCGTGGGCTGTTCCAAGTCATCCTCTTGCTCTTGTTCCGTTTCTTCTTCGCTGAGCGCCCCATGCTGCAGCCCGGTAGACCCCTGCTCTCTCACCTCCCCGACTTCTCCAGAAGACCCATCAGTCAGATCTGGGCCTTCAGGCACTTCAGATACGGGATTTAGCATCATGTCCGCTTGATTACCACGCCGACTGGATGGCCTCGCAGGGGCTGTGAGCTCCACCAGCTGAGCATCAGCCTCGTTGTCAAACATCTTCCGGCGCCTCATTCGCTCAACAAAACTAGGCTCCTTATCAAATTCCCCGTCGCTTTGATCCGAGTACACATGGTTTGCAGAACGTGTCATTCTTTCATGCAATGCCTTATCCCGGTTGGCTTGAGATTCCTGCATGCTGATGTAGTTCCATCTGTGGGCGGACGTGTCACGTGGAAAAGTTGCGGCGAGATTATTGTAAGGTGAGGAGAGCGTTGTAACAACCGGGTGGCTCTGAATGGGAATATTCGGAGACGGTCGATCTGACATAGGGTCGGATTGTTGGCCGTTCACTAGAGGTGATGATGGAGCCTGAGTTGCCCTAAATACCTGGCTTAGTGCCAATATCCCACCACTTGACCCGATATCGGCCGCAAGGGGATTCCGCGAAGCCGTGGGAGACACAGTGGCAAGGCCCTCAGAGTGGGCACGCTTCACTGCTGTCATGGGAGTCTTTGTCAGAAACCGCTGCGACTCGGGAAAGAGATTCGGCTGATGCAGCATGGGCGAAGATTCTCCCAGCTTCGAGCTACTCTGATCCTCAAGGTCCTCGTTGACAGCATCAGTATGAAGGGGATCACAGCCAGATAGCAAATCAAGATGTCCGCTATCGCCTTCATGAAGGGTCATAAGCGTTGCCTGATCACCCAAATTGCTCTCCTGAGCGTTGTCCGCAGCCTCCTGGTTCTTCCTGATGATTTCATCGTAAACTGACTGAGAGACGACCTGCGTGTCCGAAGGAACGGCATCGACCGAAGGCATTTTCGTAGACGGAGGCACTAGGGCCGTAGAAGGGGTTGTAGAGTTGGGTTTGGATGCTGGATTCGTGTTCATCGAAGTTGTGGCATTATGTGATCGCGAGGATGACCGTGAAGGCGACAACGGCGTCGGGGATTTTCGAGCCTTCTCTTGAGCGGGTGAGGAAAATGGTGACTTTTGATGGGCTTCCGGGCGACAGTCGAAGTTTGCAACTGTCCCCAGGCCATTAAATTGCAGCTGCGAAGGTGCAGATTCCTGATGGATAGCAGACGAATGATGTTAGCGAATGGAGATCAGAGACTCCGCCACCGGGAGAGGCCGTCACTCACAAGCCCCAACGCGACGCGTTGCAGCTTCGCGATGTCGATGCTATCCTCCTGCGTCTCCATAATCCCATTTACACTGCGATGTCTGTTACACAGCACAAGTGATGGCTCATTGCCGAGGTGTCTGGCGCCCCAAACCCACGAACACTTTCACCACTCGGCTTCCTCAACTGTTCTCGTGCTCTTTCCAAATGGACGGAATACCGTAAAATGCAAAACGCGAAACGCGTCACTCACGTGATATCTCAATATTACCACTATTGGTTTAGCCTGTCCGAGTCGACAAGCCAAAGACGATCTACAATCCATCTATAGAACGAGAGGATGAGCAGAGGCAAGTATATAAAGAAATTATTATGGATAATTAGTACTATATAAGGAGCGCAGGAGGTCAATGTTGCATTCTTCACACCAGAATATCGTGATCAACAATGCCAACCATAATGGTTTGTGAGAGGAGCAGGGTTACATATGGTTACAATGAGTAAAGTGCTTTACGTCCTGCCAAAAGAAAACCCAAACGCTCGAACAGCACGATGCATATAGTACACAGAAACTAGATAATGCACTCATTCTAGTCCCGGGTCCGATTGGGGACCCATCTTCGAATAACCATTTCCCGGACTTGATAACGAGCCAACATCGAGCCAATATCCTCTTCCGAGGGAGTATCAAGCTCGTAAGACGTTGGTGGAGGGACTTCCACATAGCATACCACCAAACTCTTCTTCACCTGGGCCTGGACTCGATTGACACAATGCAGCCACCACCAACTGCGCGCTGTCTTCTCCTCACACTGGGCCTTGCGCTCGGCCGTTTCAGACCAGTAGCCATGGCCATAGGATGGGACGACCACGACAGCAAACTCAGCATGTGAGAAGACCGGACCACGGTTGTAGAGGATGTAGTCCACACCGAACTTCACTCCGGAGCGCACAACCCAACCCAAAGAACGGAAATGGTGGTACACAACATATGATATCATGAATGGGTCGTCCGGCGTGAGATCCACTGACGGGGCTCTAGGAGGGAAGTAGGAGTGTCGACATAATAATGGCAGCAGAGAAGATGTAGGAATCTCGGATTTGCGAGTATCATCGCGAACACGCAAGACACCCAGCCCATATGCAAGAAAGAAGGCCTCTTCGTTAGATAATTGAAGATGCTCTTCATTTTCCAATTCCGGCTCCTCATCTGCCTTACGCCCGTCCGCCTTTCCATCCGCAGGTGTTTCTGGCAAGCTCAAGATAGCCGAATCAGAAGCAAACTCCTTGGCTTGAACAACCGGAGAAAACCGCACAGTTTTGCTGCCACTAGGTGACCGCTTTCCGGCGGAGTTAGGGGTGCGTGCATTGCCGTCTTGTGATACTGAACGTTGTGACTCAAGGAGCTTGGCTTCCCTGGCTTCCCGTGCTTTCCTTAGGGAGAATTTCTCCGTAGTTGATAATGCGCCTTCAGAGCCACTGTTCGGAGTGGGTGAGAGGGATGACTGCTCGTTTGACGTCGCGGTGCCGTCCCTGGCAGCCGCTTCGGCCTTGAGTCTCTCCTCAATGGCAAGCTTTTCCATCCTCGCGCGCTCCAGTTTCAACTCGCGGCGTTCCGTCCGCCGCTGTCGTGTAACCTCTTCGCTAGTCATTCCCCCAAGTAGACCTCGTCTCTTCTTCTCACGCTCAAGCCAGCTCGGCTCACTTCGACTCAGGGTTCCCTTACCAAAGAAACCCATCTCCCATAGCGCCTTTATAGCCTTAGGGTCTGTGACATGGACCGAGGATGTGGCAGAGTCAAAGTAGGCAGAGTAGATTTCCTGGTGAGGGGGAGAAATAAAGTACGTCAGGTAGGAAAGCAGTACACTGACGAGCGAGAGAGGGTTATGGGGGATGAGAGGAGGGAGAGGATGCACCTCAACCGGGAAGGGGAAGCGATGGATGTGTCGGTAGTTGGGCCTTGGAGGCCGCGAACGACGAGCTGGGGAGGCAGCATTGTTTTTTTGAGAAGAGTCGGACTTGCCAGGAGCAGCTGTCTCCGAAGCAGGACTAGGAATTGTATTGGAAGCCATATTTAACAGTAATTCTTATAAGCTCAATTGGATAGATATTCGATTCTAACTACAGGGAAGAGTCAGCAAGAAACTCTTCAGTTACAAGCTGGAATGTAGCCGCCATCGCCAACCCCGACAGAAGTAATCAGAATCATTGTTGTGTTTCTCCTCAGATACCGTTGTAGTCAATACAAAGCCTTCACTGACAACAGCGAGAAATCAAGGTTGCCATTGCCTAAGCTTAGGTATGTCATCATCACCGGAGAAAACAATGAAAGCAAAAATCCTTCCAGCAAGACCGACAAGGCTGCTGGCTGAAGCTTACCCGAAATCCTGTGCAAGATCTGGGGTTGGTCAAGCCATTACACGAGAGGCAGCTTTGTCCCTCGTGATGCGATGTAGTGTATCTTAGAAATACAAAATATCAATTAGCGAAAGGATCCCAGAGTCATTATGCAAGACGGGAATGGATGCGCATTATCATCATCAACATCCTCAATATTCCCTCATCCTGCCCGAAGTGCGATGGGATGGTTTGCGGAAGGAAGAAAAAAGTTGTTTGGAGCTCGCTTGGGCAGCCTTAAATGGGACCGCGCGTGACTAAGCTGGCCCTTGGCCCGTGCCCCGTTCGCTCCGCCAAAAATTTCCTGCGTATCGCCGAAGTTCAAGTCCAGCGGTTTGGCATCGATAAACGCACTCGTTCACCACCCAGCACCTCTCTTTCGTGTTTCAGTCGACTAACAGATCTAATCTTTCAAGTGAGTCTGTCTTCAGTTTAATTCAATGCTACTCGCTCGTACTGACTGAAGTTCTACAGGATGCATCTTATGTGTATGTTTCTCCGCAGTCGGACTCCCCTCGATCGGTCATAACTAACGAATGCACAAAGACTCTCTGGGCCCTGATGGCAAGCGGGTTTACACCCTGAAGAAGGTCACCGAGGATGGTCGCGTTACCAAGAGCGCTCACCCCGCCCGTTTCTCTCCCGATGACAAGTACTCCCGGTAGGTTCCTTTTCGCCAACGGTATTTAGGCACATTGGAGAGAGAGTCAGGACTAATGATATCGGCTATCTAGTCACCGTGTGACCCTCAAGAAGAGATACGGTCTCCTTCTGACCCAGCAAGTCGGTATGAAACCCCGAGTACGATTCCCAACATGGTGGACATGGCTGACGACAGACTACAGACAAGGAGGCTGCTAAGCTGTAAACGGGTTGACGGGAAAACATGATTGAGATACAAAAGGTGCTTTGAATCATTTATGGCGAATGGTGTTATCTATGGTCTTTGGACGATGAGAAACTTTTGTTCGGTTTCTGTGCGGTGCCCATGGCCGGTATCTTAGTGTGCAAAATATACCATCCAAGAATTTGCTCTATATTCGTTACCTAGCATATGCTATATGTGTATGCTCTATAAATCCGTTGATCACGAGCCGTTCATCATAATCCATCACAGAAATAGACCAAAGGTGCAGCCATTAACTTTTAAGCCAGACGCCAACCCAGACTGATGCAAAAAGACGAGAAGCCATGCCATTACCGCTTCCTCGAGTTGACATTCCTGCCAGCTCCCACACGGACCCGACCGTTCCTGTTCCGCTCTCCAGTCAGGATGCTTGGGAGGTAGTCCTCGTCCATGAGGTCGTGCTCCTTGCGCATTCTACGGCTCTGCTCTGCGGTGGCTCGAACATACTCCTTCTGGTCTTCCGCCAGAATTAATTCGGTACCCCAGCCACCCTTACCACCACCTCCCTTCCACTTTCCGTTAGAAGTGCCGTGGACGGGCTTGGGGACACTGAAACGGTTGCCGCGGTTGTTCCACTGCATGTTCTTTTTCAGGTGCATCTTGAACTGTCCATTCGCATCAGTCGTGCAGGAGACGCGGGTAAGCGTGTCTTTGCCGCAGCGGGGACAAAACTGCTTGTTCATGTCTTTGGTGGTGAAGAAACAGGCATGGCACCGCTTGATGAAAGACTTCAGATGGCGAATTCGCTGCAGGGTGGAAGTGGAGAGCAAGTTCAAGTTCATCTGTAGCAGCACGTTTTGACACTGTATCCTAGTTAGTATGGAATATAGTCATCGGAGTGAGAGTTGAAAGCATACCGCAAAATCGGTAGTCATGGTGGCAACCTGCATCACCTTGGGTTCCGGCGCCGCAGCCGCAGAACTAGCCTCATCGCGGGCCTGCCGCTTCTTCAAGTTGGAGGGCGTGATCCAGCCACCATCCGAATCATCGCCATCATCTTCCTCCTCTTGGGCGTCGTCGGCGTCCTGAGGAGTCGGTTCCTCCGTCTGGGCCTCTACAGGGGCATCTTGCACCGCGGTCTCCTGTGTGCTGGTCTCCTCTCCCAAGCTTGCGTTCTTCAGATCTTCCGCAACGGCATCCACCTCAGCACCCTCGTCTTTGTTCTCTTCCTTTTGGGTGGTCTCGCCCTCAGTCTCATCCTTAGCCTCCTCTCCCTTCTCTTCGGCCTTCTCCTCCTTCACGGGTGGCTTTCCGTTCACCTGTTTCTGCCCCGGAACACTTCTCAGTCTCCAATCACCACCGTTCCGCTCGCATTCAATCTCGTATGCAAGCGCCAGAACCTCAATATCCGTTTTACTCAGGACAGCCCGATCACCAGTCTTGCGTGCAAATTCGCTCAGGACACTGACGCTTTTCGGGGATGGTGTGCGCTGCTTCAAGAAGGGGAGGTAGAGTGTCTCCACACGCTGGCGGGCGTCAGGGTCACGGATTTCGCTGACGACGGAGGGGGTGATGAGGAGTTCTTCGCATTGTGCGAGCAGCGTGGATAGCGGCGGGGTATTCTTCAAGATGGGACCGGCGTCAAGAACGATGGTGTGGACGGGCTTCGCAGGCGATGCAGAGTCCGTCATTTTGGCGGTGGATGATGTTAGTATCTCTGCGACCGTATAATGAATTTTGTGAATGAAAACCCAATGTAGGAGTAAAGTGTATTGATTGACTCTTGGGCCGCAATGGTTGGATGGAAATTCCTCGGATGGGATTTTCAGTTGGTC